AATGTCATTGTATGCTGTAGCATTAAGATTTCCCTTCACTGGAACTAAGGGGCCTAGACTGAACCATGAAAAACAGCCCCAGACCATTATTCTTCCTCCACCAAACTTTACAGTTGGCACTATGCATTCAGGCAGGTAGCGTTCTTCTGGCATCCGCCAAACCCAGATTCGTCCGTCGGACTGCCAGATGGTGAAGCGTGATTCATCACTCCAGAGAACTCGTTTTCACTGCTGCAGAGTGCAATGGCGGCAAGCTTTATACCACTCCAGCTAACACTTGGCATTGCGCATGGTGATTTTAGGATTGTGTGTGGCTGCTTGGCCATGGAAACCCATTTCATGAAGCTCACGACAAACAGTTATTGTGCTGACTCTGCTTCCATAGGTAGTTTGGAGCCTGGTACTGAGTGTTGCAACCAAGGACAGACGATTTTTACGCGCTACGTGCTTCAGCACTCGGCAGTCCCGTTCTGTGAGCTTGTTTTGCCTACCACTTCGCGGCTGAGCCGTTGTTGCTCCTAGATGTTTCCACTTCACAATAACAGCACTTACAGTTGACTTGGGCAGCTCTAGCAGGGCAGAAATTTGACAAACTTACTTGTTGGAAAGGTGGCATCCTATGATGGTGCCACATTGAAAGTCACTGAGCTCTTCAGAACGGGCCATTCTACTGCCAATGTTTGTCTATGGCGATTGCATGGCTGTGTCCTCGAGTTAATACACCTGTCAGCAACAGGTGTGGCTGAAATATCAGAATCCACTAATTCAAATCAAAAGGGGTGCTGTCAAAAAGTGATTGAATTCAAATGGATTTACCCTACAGCTTAGCTTATACAAAATGCTGCCATACATTTCTCAGCTAACCTACTCTTGGCGATACTTTCTTCGTTTTCGATTCGGGAAAAAGGTTATCTTTTAAATGTCCGTGTCCTGTTGCAGGTGGTTCTACAAGAACAGAGAAAATTCAGAAAGATATTAGTTAAATCCATGTTTTGTATCGTGTGAGAAATACGTCTTCCATGTGTGTAGGTCTTTGTTTTGGTCGCAATGTGTGACACGCTGTCATCTACAGTACCAGTCAAAAGTTTGGACACCTATTTATTCAAGGGTTTTTCTTTATTTTGACTATTTTCTACCTATAATAATAGTGAAGACATCAAAACTATGAAATAACACATATGGAATCATGTAGTAACCAAAAAAGTGTTAAACAAATCAAAATATATTTTATATTTGAGATTCTTCGAAGTAGCCACCCTTTGCCTTGATGACAGCTTTGCACACTCTTGACATTCTCCCAACCAGCTTCACCTGGAATGCTTTTCCAACAGTCTTGAAGGAGTTCCCACATATGCTGAACACTTGTTGGCTGCTTTTCCTTTACTCTGCGGTCCGACTCATCCCAAACCATCTCAATTGGTTAGAGGTCGGGTGATTGTGGATGCCAGGTCATCTGATACAGCACTCCATAACTCTCCTTCTTGGTAAAATAGCCCTTACACAGCCAGGAGGTGTGTTGGGTCATTGTCTTGTTGAAAAACAAATGATAGTCCCACTAAGCCCATACCAGATGGGATGGCGAATCGCTGCAGAGTGCTGTGGTAGCAATGCTGGTTAAGTGTGCCTTTTAATTCTAAATAAATCACAGACAGTGTCACCAGCAAAGCACCCCCACACCATCACACCTCCTCCTCCATGCTTCACGGTGGGAACTACACATGCGGAGATCATCCGTTCACCTACACTGCGTCTCACAGAGACACAGTGGTTGGAACCAAAAATCTCAAATTTGGAATCATCAGACCAAAGGACAGGTTTCCACCGGTCTAATGTCCATTGCTCCTGTTTCTTGGCCCAAGCAAGTCTTGTCTTATTGGTGTCCTTTTAGTAGTGGTTTCTTTGCAGCAATTCGACCATGAAGGCCTGATTCACGCAGTCTCCTCTGAACAGTTGATGTTGAGATGTGTCTGTTACTTGAATTCTGTGAAGCACTTATTTGGGCTGCAATTTCTGAGGGTGGTAACTCTAATAAACTTATCCTCTGCAGCAGAGGTAACTCTGGGTCTTCCTTTCCTGTGGCGGTCCTCATGAGAGCCAGTTTCATCATAGCGCTTTATGGTTTTTGCGACTGCACTTGAAGAACCTTTCAAAGTTCTTGAAATGTTCGGTATTGACTGACCTTCATGTCTTAAAGTAATGATGGACTGTCGTTTCTCTTTGATTATTTGAGCCTTTCTTGCCAAAATATGGACTTTTACCAAATAGGGCTATCTTCTGTATACCACCCCTACCTTGTCACAACACAACTGATTGGCTCAAATGCATTAAGAAGGAAAGAAATTACACAAATTAACTTTTAAGAAGGCACACCTGTTATTTGAAATGCATTCCAGGTGACTACCTCATGAAGCTGGTTGAGAGAATGCCAAGAGTGTGCAAAGCTGTCATCAAGGCAAAGGGTGGCTACTTTGAAGAATCTCAAATATAAAATATATTTTGATTTGTTTAACACTTTTCTGGTTACTACATGATTCCATATGTGTTATTTCATAGTTTTGATGTCTTCACTATTATTCTACAATGTAAAAATAAAGAAAAACCCTTGAATGAGTAGGTTTGTCCAAACTTTTGACTGGTACTGTACTTCTACACATGGCCACAGCTGCGTCGCATAGAACCGACTAGTTCCTGCAAAGATGCTGGGAAATTTACCTGGAGCTAACCTTGCAGATAGCATTACTGGGTGATCTGAAAAGTCATAGTCAATCGATCAATAATATAATAATACTTTTAGCAAAATTTTTTATTTTTAATTCACAATCTGTAGAAGCAATGAGAATAGAAAGGTTCAGAACTTTTGTAAAACATCACAGTACGGTTGAAATATATATGGCAAATAGAAATCCTATATGGATGGTGTTAAGAGATAGATGGGAGGTATTGAAAAGAGTTGAAGGATGGGACTAATAACAAATAACAACAAATAATAACAAAGATAGCTAATAATGTAAGCATACTGTGTCCATAATAAGTATATTGGTTGTATGTTGGGAGCTTTTGGGAAAGAGCACAGTTAGAAAGATATGGCATATAGAAGCAAACCGGATGGACATAATGAAAATGATCGGAGAGGTTGAGAGTAGAAGAAGTTCAGGAGCAAAAAATAAATATATAATATAATTATTGTAAAATGAACTGTGTCCATAAGGTGTAGATAGTAAGTATAGACCGGAAGTAGAGGCCTGGGCATTGTTGTTCACTAATTTACTCCAAGTAGGGAAAGGATGGCGGGGTTGAAAAGTAATAAAGGGGAGTATATACAGTGGGGAGAACAAGTATTTGATACACTGCCGATTTTGCAGGTTTTCCTACTTACAAAGCATGTAGAGGTCTGTAATTTTTATCATAGGTACACTTCAACTGTGAGAGACGGAATCTAAAACAAAAATCCAGAAAATCACATTGTATGATTTTTAAGTAATTAATTTGCATTTTATTGCATGACATAAGTATTTGATAAGTATCAGAAAAGCAGAACTTAATATTTGGTACAGAAACCTTTGTTTGCAATTACAGAGATCATACGTTTCCTGTAGGTCTTGACCAGGTTTGCACACACTGCAGCAGGGATTTTGACCCACTCCTCCATACAGACCTTCTCCAGATCCTTCAGGTTTCGGGGCTGTCGCTGGGCAATACGGACTTTCAGCTCCCTCTAAAGATTTTCTATTGGGTTCAGGTCTGGAGACTGGCTAGGCCACTCCAGGACCTTGAGATGCTTCTTACGGAGCCACTCCTTAGTTGCCCTTGCTGTGTGTTTCGGGTCGTTGTCATACTGGAAGACCCAGCCACGACCCATCTTCAATGCTCTTAATGAGTGAAGGAGGTTGTTGGCCAAGATCTCGCGATACATGGCCCCATCCATCCTCACCTCAATACGGTTTAGATTCCGTCTCTCACAGTTGAAGTGTACCTATGATAAAAAATTACAGACCTCTAAATTACAGACCTCCCCACTGTATATAAAAAAACATGGGGGATTGGAAGTGATGCAGACAATTACATTGATAGAAGATACAATCTATCTGTAATATTAAGCCGATCCATCCCCCATTTAAAAAAAATAAAAATAAATAAAAAAGATGCTGGGAAATGCTAGATGTTCGGCAGTTAAGATGGCAAGGAACCTCCTCATGATGTACAAAACATGGATTTAATTAATAATTTCTCTGTTTTTTGTAGAAACCACCTGCAACTGGACACATTTATAAGATAACATTTTTCCCGAATAATAATCTGCTTTAATATTGCAAATAGATTTAGGGTTCTATCAATTCAATTGTTTGGATCATTTCTAATCCCCCTTATTTTAATTGTTTTATTTTTGTCTATATTTCTTTCCCCCAAACCTACTACCCCTCCCTCCCCTGAGAAGAAAAGTATTGCCAAGAGCAGGTTAGATGAAAAATCAATGGCAGCGTTTTGTATAAACTAAGCTGTAACGTTGAGTATGGAAACCTAGTTATCACATATCTCGTGTAACTGTAGCAACACTGGCACATGATCATCTTCGGTAGCCTATACTTGCCTCTTCAGACAATTTGTTGAATTAATTTGTAGCAATCTGTAGCTAGTGCCAGTGAAGCATCAGGCATATACATTTCACCCTAGAGAGTTACTACATGCACTTAGGACAGGCTATATTAGGACAAGCCATGTCCCTGACAAGCGATGTTGAGGTCGACGACCTGGCATAGCCTACCTAGTCTTTAAACATTTTCCAATTCTGAAAAATGTCATTTGATTTCATTCTGCTGTAAATGCCTCTGCAAGAAATATGCATATTTATATCATATTTTGAGATTTAACTTCCCTCGTTTGTTTGTTGATATATCCCACATCCTCATTATCAGCAAGTGAATCATTCCATATCCTGGACCTAATATGAACTGTGTGTGATGCTAATCAATTCCCATTTAATTATTATAATTCCCATGTGACTGTCAGACAGCTTCCATGACCAGCTCCTGGAGGACAGTCGGTTCCTCAGGGCAGACCGTCGACTGGACACAGAACTAGTGGATAAACTCATCCTGCAGCTCAACAGGATCTACCCACAGATCCTCACAGACAAGGAGGCCACCAAAGTGAGTATCTTCCTCTGGACAAATTATTTTGACCCAAGGTAATTTGTAACTTCCACACGCAGAGCTCTTTGCTCTAAGAGATGTGACCTACTGAAATGTAGCGTATGACTGCTTGTCAGCCGTGGTTTCAAGCCGCACTTTGAGTAGAATACTGTAGATGTAACAATCAAAGCATCTGTTTCATTTCCAGACTCTGTTGAACAGACCACTTGAACATGCAGTTAGTTTCAGTCCCAGAACGTGCAGTTAGTCAGTTAGTAGCCTCTCGTGATAGACTGTAACAAAGATGTTCAAATTGAGTAACAGGCTAGTGTGCACAGGGCATTTGTTTCTGGATTCCAAAGGTAATCACTTAGATTCTGAGATCTGTGTGTAGAATACCTCTATCTGGAATTCTGAATATGACATGATGATCCAGTTTAGGGACCTTGATGTGCCCACCTGCATCCGACTGGCCGAGCTCCTGGGTCACCTGCAGGGGAAAGGTGAAGAGGCCTGCCGGGAGTTCTACCGGGCGCTTCACCTGCATGTGGAAGAGGTGTACTTCAGCCTACCAACACGCCTCCGCCTCAGAGGTTAGTCCCTCTGCCCCGACAGTCAGTCACTGGAGAGCTGAGATTTGCTCTCATTATTATTCACATTCAAATGTTTTTGTACACTACCAATGGTATATTTGGATCTAAAAACCTGCATGAATGTATTTTCACTGAGGTTGTCAAAATCACTGACATTTTGTAATCCCTTTCCCAGATTCTATAGACCCGTTCACGATTGCAGCCTCACCCACCCAGCAGAGATATGTGCTGAACGACAGAGGTAAGCATACACACAGAATGTTGAAACTCTGTCACACATACAAACACATGTACTGTAAACACACATGCCTTTTACAGTACATACCTTTCGTTCTCGCAAACGGTCTCCTGTTCTCTCTTCTCTCTCTCTAGGTCCTCTGTTCTTCCTGAGTTGTTTCAGTGTTGCAGTGGGGATGGCTCTACTGTATTACTATGGCGGTGAGTACAATACGTCCCTTCCACCTTTCTTTTCTTTCCCACAGAAAAAATATTAGCATGAAAACCAGAAATCATTGCTGTACAGCTTTTCTGTACCAAGCTAAGCCTAACATTGCATCTTCATGTTATGCCACAAATCAAACTACACATCGAACTTGATTTAAAGTGTATTTAAAATCGCAACACACTTTATAGTATAACAAACAAGAAGCAGTGAACGGAAGAAATAAAAGCACATGAAACTCAATGGATTTAAAAACCTCTATGGAATCTGCCTCTCTTACTTGACTGGGCAAGCTATTCCATAACTATGGGGCTTTGATAAAGAACGCACAGACCAAATCATGTATTCAGTTTCCATTAGGTTGAAGTTGTCAGTGCTATCATGCTTAATTGTTAGAGAATAAAACAAAGTGTAAACTGTCCATGTGTTGTCCTACAGAGGCCAAAGTAACAGGGGGAAGCAGGGCTCTTGGCATGGCTGCTCTTGGACTGGGCCGACGAGCCAGAGAGGTTCTCATATGGTACACTGAAGACCCCATCAGGAATTAGTCTGTGTGTCTCCACTACCACAGCAAAACAAGCACTCCAAAGGTGCTTCCGGACATTCATAACACACTACACCCTTTTCACATTACCATGCCAACCTGATCCAAACTGTGCTGGTTAGAGCAACTATGAACTATGAACTTTCATTGTCCTCATAATGGTTAGATATTAGACATGCCTCTTCTCTGATGAAAGGGACTATTATCACACTAAAGCTCTGTTACTGAACAGCATCTTGTCAAGAGCCAGCCGTCTTCCGTTGTTGTTCTATTGGTGTGGTTTGGACACAGTGGACATGTAGGGGCTTGTACAGAAACCGATAAACCAGACTCACTTTAAATAAACCTTTTCTACTGAATGTGTTGTACTACTTACAGTATACTCAGGAGATTGACATTAGAAAACATCAAACAGCAAAGGGTGGTATTTATAAAATAGGATGTTTACTTTGCTTAATGAAGGAAACCAACCAAGCACTACATTTATTGCAATTTGATTTGTGATATAATCTCTGTTATCAGGGAGGATCTATAAATGGAAAACAAGAATGTAATAACAATGTAATGCCTTTAAAAAAACAAACATTTTAGTCATTTTTAGCAGACGCTCTTATCCAGAGCGACTTACAGTAGTGAGTGTATACATTTCATACTGGTCCCCTGTGGGAATCAAACCCACAATCCTGGTGTTGCAAGCGCCATGCTCTACCAACTGAGCCATATGTTGTAGCTCAGTTGGTAGAGCATGTTGTTCGTCCAGTGTTTGTCTTAGATGAAATGTCTACACACATACAGTGAGGGAAAAAAGTATTTGATCCCCTGCTGATTTTGTACGTTTGCCCACTGACAAAGACATGATCAGTCTATAATTTTAATGGTAGGTTTATTTGAACAGTGAGAGACAGAATAACAACAAAAAAACGCATGTCAAAAATGTGTGAAATAAGTATTTGACCCCCTCTCAATCAGAAAGATTTCTGGCTCCCAGGTGTCTTTTATACAGGTAACGAGCTGAGATTAGGAGCACACTCTTAAAGGGAGTGCTCCTAATCTCAGGTTGTTACCTGTATAAAAGACACCTGTCCACAGAAGCAATCAATCAATCAGATTCCAAACTCTCCACCATGGCCAAGACCAAAGAGCTCTCCAAGGATGTCAGGGACAAGATTGTAGACCTACACAAGGCTGGAATGGGCTACAAGACCATCGCCAAGCAGTTTGGTGAGAAGGTGACAACAGTTGGTGCGATTGTTCGCAAATGGAAGAAACACAAAATAACTGTCAATCTCCCTCGGCCTGGGGCTCCATGCAAGATCTCACCTCGTGGAGTTGCAATGATCACGAGAACGGTGAGGAATCAGCCCAGAACTACACGGGAGGATCTTGTCAATGATCTCAAGGCAGCTGGACCATAGTCACCAAGAAAACAATTGGTAACACACTACGCTGTGAAGGACTGAAATCCTGCAGCGCCCGCAAGGTCCCCCTGCTCAAGAAAGCACATATACAGGCCCGTCTGAAGTTTGCCAATGAATATCTAAATGATTCAGAGGAGAACTGGGTGAAAGTGTTGTGGTCAGATGAGACCAAAATCTAGCTCTTTGGCATCAACTCAACTCACCCTGTTTGGAGCAGGAGGAATGCTGCCTATGACCCCAAGAACACCATCCCCACCGTCAAACATGGAGGTGGAAACATTATGCTTTGGGGGTCGCTGGTTCTAATCGCCGAGCCGACTAGGTGAAAAATCTGTCGATGTGCCCTTGAGAAAGGCACTTAACCCTAATTGCTCCTGTAAGTCGCTCTGGATAAGAGCGTCTGCTAAATGACTAAAACGTTTTTTTTTTTTTTTAATGTGTTTTTCTACTAAGGGGACAGGACAACTTCACCGCATCAAAGGGACGATGGACGGGGCCATGTACCGTCAAATCTTGGGTGAGAACCTCCTTCCCTCAGCCAGGGCATTGAAAATGGGTCGTGGATGGGTATTCCAGCATGACAATGACCCAAAACACACGGCCAAGGCAACAAAGGAGTGGCTCAAGAAGAAGCACATTAAGGTCCTGGAGTGGCCTAGTCAGTCTCCAGACCTTAATCCCATAGAAAATCTGTGGAGGGAGCTGAAGGTTCGTGTTGCCAAACGTCAGCCTCGAAACCTTATTGACTTGGAGAAGATCTGCAAATTGGAGTGGGACATAATCCCTCCTGAGATGTGTGCAAACCTGGTGGCCAACTACAAGAAACGTCTGACCTCTGTGATTGCCAACAATGGTTTTGCCACCAAGTACTAAGTCATGTTTTGCAGAGGGGTCAAATACTTATTTCCCTCACTAAAATGCAAATTAATTCATACAATTTTTGACATGCGTTTTTCTGGATTTTTTTGTTGTTATTCTGTCTCTCACTGTTCAAATAAACATGCCATTAAAATTATAGACTGATCATGTCTTTGTCAGTGGGCAAATGTACAAAATCAGCAGGGGATCAAATACTTTTTTCCCTCACTGTAATGCGTTTAGATTAGATCAATCCAGGTCCACTATGCTCGTAGCTAGATAGCCCAGCACGGTTCAATTAATGTGTGACCTAACTATATCAGAGAGATTGCAATATGTTCACTAGAACTATCACATTATAGTGGTTGATTACTCTCCTGGCGTTTAAATCTTTATTTTGAGTGAAAATAGTACGTAGTTACTGTTTTTGAAAGTGTTATTTTTTCATTATGCCCACTGAAAAGCCAATGCAAATACATTTCCGGTCTCAACCGTGTTGTTTCACCTCAGTCTTTTTCTCTCTCACTTTTTCCAATGTCTTTAAGCGTTTCCAAAGTTTTCTCTAACTAACACATGCGTGAAGCCTTTGTTCGCTAACTTGCCTTAATCTATGCTTTGTTTGGAAATATTGTTAATGGGGGAAGTAGATTATGACGGTTATACAGTTTTATAGTAGGGAAAATGATAATATTAGATACACATGTAACATACCTGATATATATATTCAATGTGTAGACATATGAGACTGTTGTGTCACAGCTCTATCTACTCTGTTAGGAGAAAATCCTAACTCCCATTTAAGTCAAATTGACATCAATGCACCACTAAGTGGTTTTAGTGGAAGTTAGGATTCTCCCCACAGTCTCTGTCTGTTTAACTGCCTCAGTCTCACAGGTGCCATCATTATGATTGATATAATTGTATGACTTTTCACTATTGTCACGATCGTCGATAGATGAAGCGGACCAAGGCGCAGCGTGATAAACGTACATCTTTTATTGAAGTACACCACACGAACAAAACAACAAACGAAACGTGAAGTCCTAGGTTAACACAAACCTTTCGGAACAAGATCCCACACCCCACTAGTGCCAACAGGCTACCTAAGTATGGTCCCCAATCAGAGACAACGAGCTACAGCTGCCTCTGATTGGGAACCACCCTGGCCAACATAGATCTAAACGATCTAGAAACTAACATAGACAAACCCAACACAGAAAATACACACCCTGACTCAACAAATACAAGTCCCTAGAGTCAGGGCGTGACAGTACCCCCCCCCAAAGGTGCGGACTCCGACCGCGCCACATAAACCTAACAGGGTAGGGTCCGGGTGGGCATTCCGCCTCGGAGGCGGATCCGGCTCCGGGTGTGACCACCACTTACTCTCCACCTCCCCGTTGCGCCCCTGGTCTGGTCTGGACCTTGGCGCGCTGCTTCCTCTCTCCTTCCTCCCACGAAGTACCACGCCCTGTCTGGACCCTGGTGTGGGAGACCCCGAACCTGGAGAGGGGCTGACGTCTGGGTCTGGGGTGGAGCCGCTGACCGGAACTGGATCAGGCACCGGTGGAGCGGACTGCTCTGGCTCCGGAGTGGAGCCGCTGACCGGAGCTGGACTAGACCCTGGTGGAGCGGATTGCTCTGGCTCCGGAGTGGAGCAGCTGACCGGTGCCGGACCAGGCACCGGTGGAACAGGCATGGGCCGTGCCGGACTGGACACACGCACCACTGGCTTGGTGCGGGGAGCAGGAACGGGCCGGACTGGGCTGACGACGCGCACCCCTGGCTTGGTGCGGGGAGCAGGAACGGGCCGGACTGGGCTGACGACGCACACCACTGGCTTGATGCAGGGAGCAGGAACGGGCCGTACCGGACTGGCGACGCGCACCACTGGCTTGGTGCGAGGGACAGGAACAGGTCGGACCGGGCTGGCGACGCGCACCACTGGCTTGGTGCACGGGGCAGGAACAGGCCGGGCCGGGCTGGCGACGCGCACCACTGACTTGGTGCGAGGGACAGGAACAGGCCGGACCGGGCTGGCGATGCGCACCACTGGCTTGATGCGAGGAGCAGGAACGGGCCGAACCATACTGGGAACACCCACCACTGGCTTAGTGCGGGAATCAGGAACGGGCCGGACCGGACTGGCGACACGCACCACTTGATTGGTGCGAGGAGCGGGACTGGGTTCCTTCATTAACCCCCGCTCCTTCTGCTGCCTAACCAGCTCCTCTCGCTGTGCCTCTACACTTTCCTTCTGTTCCCTCTGAACCAATGACCCCCTTAATCTGGCGGCTTCCTCTGCAAAACGGCTGAACCGCTCTATCGCAGCCTCCTGCTGCCTCGTCTACCACGGCGTGAGCCCCCCCCAAAAAAATGTTTGGGCTTGTCTCTCCCCCGTGATCATGGCCTCCATCCCTCTTGCCAGACTCTCGCTCATCTCCTCCCAAGTCCATCCTCTCTCCTCGTCACGCTGCTTGATCCAGGATTGGTGGGATCTTCTGTCACGATCGTTTACGGACGAGAAGGACCAAGGCGCAGCGTGATAAACGTACATCTTTTATTGAAGTACACCACACGAACAAAACAACAAACGAAACGTGAAGTCCTAGGTTAACACAAACCTTTCGGAACAAGATCCCACACCCCACTAGTGCCAACAGGCTACCTAAGTATGGTCCCCAATCAGAGACAACGAGCTACAGCTGCCTCTGATTGGGAACCACCCTGGCCAACATAGATCTAAACGATCTAGAAACTAACATAGACAAACCCAACACAGAAAATACACACCCTGACTCAACAAATACAAGTCCCTAGAGTCAGGGCGTGACAACTATTTATTATTATGGACAATACAAAACAACATCTGAACAAATTGTTATTTTTCATTTACAAACTTCATTTCAGAACAGTACTGTTTTCTACTGCATACAGTGCATCAAACAACAAAGTGCATTAAAAGTGGGGCTAAAATATGATTTGGTCCTTCATTAAAAAAAGAGAAAAGGCCTACAATCATAAAAAAAAGTATATTGTCAAAGCTTAGGGTCTAAATATAGCATGAAATACACACTTACATATTATTAAGTTTTTTTTTTTACATTTAAATTGTAATGGTACATACTGTACCTTGCATAGATCTGAGATTACATGTAAGGCAGCATGCAAAGTCTGACTGTCCGGTTGTAAAATTCCAGTAATTTAACCTGGGAATTTTGGGTCAAAATCCGCTAATTACCAACATTTTGCAACGCTAGATCAGTGGTTCACAAACTCTTCACACCCCTCTTTTGCCATATCTTATGTGTGTTCATGTGATAGCTGAGTGACTCAAACATTACAACAAAATCAATGGTATAAAAAACCTAGCTAAAAAACACAGCAGCTATAGTGTACAGCTTGAGTATTAATAGAACAAAGTCACCACGACAGCAGCTCTAAGATATAAGATACACTATATATACAAAAGTAGGTGGACAACCTTCAAATTAGTGGATTGGCTATTTCAGCCACACCCTTTGCTGACAGGTGTATAAAATCGAGCACACAGCCATGCAATCTCCATAGACAAACATTGGCAGTAGAATGGCCCTTACTTAAGAGCGCAGTGACTTTCAACGTGGCACCATCATAGGATGCCAACTTTCCAACAAGTCAGTGCTTCAAATTTCTGCCCTGCTAGACCTGCCCCGGTCGACTGTAAGTGCTGTTATTGTGAAGTGGAAATGTCTAGGCACAACAACGGCTCAGTCGCGAAGTGGTAGGCCACATAAGCTCACAGAACGGGACCGCCGAGTGCTGAAGCGCGTAGCGTGTAAAAACCGTCTGTCCTCGGTTGAACACTCACTACTGAGTTCCAAACTGCCTCTGGAAGCAACGTCAGCACAAGAACTGTTTGTCAGGAGCTTCATGAAATGGGTTTCCATGGCCAAGCAGCCGCACACAAGCCTAAGATCACCATGCGCAATGCCAAGCGTCGGCTGGAGCAGTGAAAACGCGTTCTCTGCAGTGACGAATCACGCTTCACCATCTGGCAGTTCAACGGACGAATCCAGGTTTGGCGGATGCCAGGAGAACGTTACCTGCCCCAATGCATAGTGCCAACAGTAAAGTTTGGTGGAGGTGGAATAATGGTCTGGGGTTGGCCCCCTTAATTGCAGTGAAGGGAAATCTTAAAGTTACAGCATACAATGAGATTTTAGACGATTCTGTTCTTCCAACTTTGTACCAACAGTTTCGGTAAGGGCCTTTCCTGTTTCAGCATTACAATGCCCTCGTGCACAAAGCGAGGTCCATACAGAAAATGATTTGTCGAGATCGGTTTGGAAGAACTTGACTGGCCTGCACAGAGCCCTGACCTCAACCCCATCAAACACCTTTGGGATGAATTGGAACGCCGACTGCAAGCCAGGTGTAATCACCCAACATCAGTGCCTGACCTCACTAATGCGCTTGTGGCTGAATGGAAGCAAGTCCCTGCAGCAATGTTCCAACATCTAGTGGAAAGCCTTCCCAGAAGAGTGGAGGCTGTTATAGCAGCAAAGAGGGGACCAACTCGATATCAATGCCCATGATTTTGGAATGAGATGTTTGACGAGCAGGTGTCCACATACTTTTAGTCATGCAGTGTCAGTGGCGACCTGTCATTCAGGGCAGGTGGGGTAGAGTCCCATCTGTTTTGAGCCCCACATGTTTAGCTAAAAAAAAAATATATATATTTTTTTTTCCGTTGCCTGTTTAGCATGTTATTTTGGCATGAATTCATGTCACATATCAGTTTGCAAACAATGTAAAAAAATATATACACAAATATGGTCTCTTTCTTGAGTAAGGCAGCTCCAAAATGCATGTGTTTCAGCTTAGCTCAGTGCTTTCTGTGGTGGAGGGGCAGCCAGCGGAAAATACAGATCGTAGGCATTGGTAATATTCTCTAGTTGAGCCGTGATTGGCTCAGTGTTCTGTCACTCATGTGACACTACGTCACCGCAGAATCTACAGGGAGAGCTAGGCAGTTCAAGCACCCTTGGGTGCTGCCATAGATTTACATTAGAAGTGCCTGTCCAAGAAGGCTCAAGGTCATTGGCCACAGATAGAATGACGTCAAATCACGTTATATCTACCGTAGCTTTGATTGGACCGATCATGTTACTTTCAAAATCTTTGCTAGCAAGCTAGACAAGCAGTCATCATCATGAATAACGTCGACAATCTACTGACTGAGATTCACTGGCCGTGGGTATGAAAGGCCAGTGGGAATCCTGTAGAGCTGATCGATCCATTGTCTTTAGTGTCACAGAGAATCTGATGGAATAGTGGATCCCTGAACCTCACTTGCTTGTAAAGTAGCAGTAATTTGGTTAGTGCAGCTATGGTATTCCCGTATAAAACATTTACTATAAGATTCACCTAGGTGTAACAGTAGGCCTATCTACAATACATATATTTATAAAACTCTTGCAACCTGACAATATGACACTGCATATAACACAAGTATAATTCCTTTATAACTGTGTAATAATTGATGACCAGGGGTAAGGAGTGAGGGTGGTTAAGCTTTTGGATTGGGCTTATGGACACCAAAGGCTGTAATAAAGACGTTGACTACAACAATGATGAAGATGAGTGCTGTGACAATGTTCTCCATAATGGTCAGCTTGAAGTGTGTGCTCTCATCGTTCAGGTTCCACTTCACTGCAGAACAAGAGAAGAACACAAACATGTTGAGGATTAGCTTGCTGGCTCCAAGCATGTCCTCAGTTCATAGAAAGCAACCAACAGAGGGAGCTATGTCAGAGTTGTTTCTAAGACTGGGGCCCTGTTTGAATTCCTTAAAAGTGCATTCTTCCTCTTCCCCTTCCTTGACAAAATCACTGAGTGAGTAGACAAGATTGGACAAGTGAACTCAAGGGCTCCACCACAGGATGGTATTCACCTGTCCAGTCATTTCTGATCCTGCCTTCCTATAGGAAGGATGCACTTTTAAATAATCAGACCGAGGCCTGGCTTTTGAACCATCAAATATCCAGTGTTGGCATATTTAACTCATCATTATTGAACCATGTGATATGAAGATACAGCATTTTACATTTCCTATCCTCAGGTGAATGATTATCTAGGACATTAATTATATGCCTCACTAGAAAGGAATGCCAATATGTTGTTGTGGGAGTTGTTGTGAGAGTTGAAGCCCAGTTAAGCATTTTTCACATGCTGACTCAATAAAGAGGCACACCTCCTGTAATGTTAGCAATTCTGCCTTAGGACATTAAACTAAGTATTCCTAATTTGAACCAACTGAGAGGAGAAATACAATGGATATACAAACACTGTCTCCAATGGTCCTATTCTTTAACTCTCCCACCCACACAATAGGAGGCCCTGGCAGGGGGAGATAAGGACGTTATAGCCAGGTACACAGATAATAACGTTTTTTTGAGAGAGGCATTCATAGGCCTACAGACACACATAATGTTTGTTGGCATTCAAACATAAGTTAGGGTCAGAAACATGTAGGAAGTTAATCTGTTCTTGGAGCTGAGGAGAAACAATGGCACTATAAACCAAGTGTTTATGTCTCATCAATAGGGTCAGGAGTTTGTCAGGTCACATGGTCAGGAAAAACTCTTGGCCCCATGCCTCATCATCAATCTGTGGCTACGTCCAAATGATCTCTCCTTCCTCCCAAAGTGTGCGCTTCCCTTCACTGATTTCAAATGAAATGACTGGTATAAGAAATATGGGGGGACATCCTTTTAGCCCATGCCTCCACCAATCCAATGCTTTTAGATTTGTGGGAAGTATTGAATGACTTCACTCTTCAGGAGAAAGGAGATATTATTGGGTTGCAGTCAGTATGAGGAAGAGGACATTGCTGGTTAGCGCCAGAGCCAAACAGGAGTGACTTTCTTAATTGCCTCGGAGGGGATAAATAAAGTTGAATAGAATAAAATAGAACTGAGACCCACCAATGAAGATGAGCAGGACGCCCACAGTGATCTGCAGGATGAGGGACACGGAGATGAAGGTGATGAGGGGGGTGTAGAAGGTGAATTCTGGGCCCTGCTCCAGGACAGCCTTCAGCTGGGAGGCATTGGCCATGAGTAACGCCACATCCAGCATGCTCTCTGCTGCACTCTTCTTATTAGCATACTGGTTCATGTTTATAGGGCTGCCTGCCGGCCTCCGACTCAAGCGACCTGGACGCCGCTCCTGGACATAGAGAGACTAACGTCAGTACAACATAGATAGAGACTTATAACACACCTAAACACAGAGGCTAACATCAGTACACTATAGATAGGGACAGCAGACCAAGCCCCGGGAATCTGAACACGAGACTAACATCAGTACAACATAGATAGACAGATATTTAACACTGGCACATCACCATGTGGCAGTGAAAACATACATGAAATGAGTTTGAATAGGAAATATTGAAAAATGCATAGGAAATGTTGTCATTGACAAGTTTAGAAATGATGATTTTTTAATATAAATAATAATTGTGTCCTTCAAACTTTGCTTTCGTCAAAGAATCCTCCATTGCTGCAAATGACTGGAACGAACTACAAAAATCTCTGAAGCTGGAGACACTTATCTCCCTCATTAACTTTAAGCATCAGTTGTCAGAGCCCATCTGTAATTAGCCCACCCAACTACCTCATCCCCATATTGTTATTTACGTTGTTATTTATTTTGCTCATTTGCACCCCAGTATCTCTATTTGCACATCATCTTCTGCACATCTATCACTCCAGTGTTAATACTAAATTGTAATTATTTTGCACTATGGCCTATTTATTGTCTTACCTCCATAACTTACTACATTTGCACACACTGTATATAGATTTTCTATTTTCTATTGTGTTATTGACTGTACGTTTTTGTTTATTCCATATGTAACTGCGTTGTTGTTGTTTTTATCGCACTGCTTTGCTTTATCTTGTCCAGGTCACAGTTGTAAATGAGAACTTGTTCTCAACTGGCTTACCTGGTTAAATAAAGGTGAGAAAAAAAAATGGAGAAAAAAAAGACCTTTGGCATTCTAGCTGTCAATTTGTTGCGGTAATCTGAAGAGATTTCACCCCGTGCTTCCTGAAGCACCGCCCACAAGTTGGATTGGCTTGATGGGCACTTCTTATGTACCATACGGTCAAGCTGCTCCCACAACAGCTCAATATGGTTGAGATCCGGTGACTGTGCTGGCCACTCCATTTTAGACAGAATACCAGCTGACTGCTTCTTCCCTAAATACCTAGAATAGTTCTTGCATAGTTTGGAGCTGTGCTTTGGGTCATTGTCCTGTTGTAGGAGGAAATTGGCTCCAATCAAGCGCCGTCTACAGGGTATGGCATGGCGTTGCAAAATGGAGTGTTGCCTTCTTCAAGATCCCTTTTACCCTGTACAAATCTCCCACTTTACCACCACCAAAGCACCCCCAGACCATCACATTGCCTCCACCATGCTTGACAGATGGCATCAAGCACTCCTCCAGCATCTTTTCATTTGGTCTGCGTCTCACAAATGTTCTTCTTTGTGATCCGAACACCTCAAACTTCGATTTGTCTGTCCATAACACCTTTTCCCAATCTTCCTCTGTCCAGTTTTCTTTGCAACTCTGCCTAGAAGGTCACCATCCCGGAGTCGCCTCTTCACTGTTGACGTTGAGACTGGTGTTTTGCGGGTACTATTTAATGAAGCTGCCAGTTGAGTATATAGCCATGTTATTTTTACTCTTATTGTTATTCTTTATTCACTGTGCATTTATTCCTTGTTTCAATATTTATATTTTATACCAAAAAAATGTTATCTTTAACTCTGCATTGTTGGAAAAGGACTAGTAAGTAAGCATTTCACTGTTAGTCTACACCTGTTGTTTACGAAGCATGTGACAAATGACATTTGATTTGATGGAGAAATATGGAGAATTTCTAGGGATTTCTACAATTACTCTGCTGTGTATTTGTGGAAAATGAAAGTGTTGTGGGACTTTTAACAGGAAGTGTGACCATGCACATGAAAACATGTTTGGGGGTGAGGGGAGGAGAGGGATGTTGAAGTATGGGGAAATTCTGGGGATTTCTATAGTGACTAATATGTGGGAAATGGCCATTATTACGGCTGGCGTTGCACTGATAACTGCTAGAAAGGACGAGAGGTCTAGAAGTAATGTGCCATGTTTCTTCTGCAATTTCCTTCCAACAGGGTGTAGCTACTGAAACTGACAACCAAGAGGAAGTTGGGCAATATGCATGTAGAAAGTAGAGAGATGTGCTATTGTGTCTTAAGTGATGCGGAAGGATGTTGTGTGTATGCAGGGGTATTCTTGTACCATCGCGCACTAGCGACTTCCGGGTTAAGCGGGCAGTGCAGCTCGGCTCAGTTGTGTTTTGGAGGACGCACGGCTCTCGACCTTCGCCTCTCCCGAGTCCGTACGGGAGTTGCAGCGATGGGACAAGACTGTATTTACCAATTTGGAAGAAAAAGGGGTAAAATAAAAATAAAATAATAAAAAATAACATGTACTACTTGAGTGTATTGTAGAGCAGTAGTGAATACTGTTCAGTAATAGTCCATTCGTTATAAAAGTTAATTGCATGAGGGAACTGTAATTGTCCTGTAATGAATAGCATGATAATGAGAAGTATTAATGTCAGAATATAGCAATATTATCAAGTGAGGAGGACTGGGGAACACTTATCCTAAAGTATGTGCTACTATGCCATGGTAATAACACTGTGTAGTACAGCAGTGAGGAGAGGAGCAAGGCCGGTCTAATGAGTGCCACTCATGACTATTATTTGCAAACAGAGTAAACCCCAGGAATCCATTACAGCAGAACTGAAGTCATGCTGTCTGTCTCAGTGGTCAACACATGACAGTGTCTATATCTCTTGCTCTGTCTCAGCTTTCAGAAAGTTTGCAAGTATTTCAAGTAGTTCAGAATGTCCTCTACAGCTGTGAGCCAGGTTACTCAGCTTTACTTTGCTTTACTCTCTCCACTAATTCAGAAAGGCATAGAGAGGGCATTACTGTACAATGATGCAGTTAAATTGTTACATCATTGGAAAAGTGGGCCCCTAACCCAAACATTACCCAGGTTTCTGTGTGGGTTAAAGGATAGAGTGGTTGTTTTGGGTGAAGTACGGTCTGGCCAGTCTGGCCGTCCAACAGCCAACAAGTACAGCTTTGTGCCCAGGTTGGCAGTATAAAACAGAGAAGCCCACATCCACATGCCTCTCGCCACCTATGAAAACACACAGCCCACAGAGGGAAAAGGTCTCCTTGTGACCAAGAATAGCGATGACTGGACAGTTAGTTATCTCTGAGAAGCAGCCTGCTTTCACTCACTGCCTTATAACCGTCAACTTCCAGCGCTCATCTGTCTTTGTCTTTCGTTTATTCCATTCTCTCTAGCATTCCTTTTCTATGGCCCTGTTTTGTGTGTGCCATTTTCCTCACTCGATCTTGGTGTCCTTCTGATCATGAGGGCTAGATTCCCATACTGCTGTGTTTATGGCAATGTTCTAGAAATAGGCCACCTGAAAGGGTGAACTTTCTGAAATTCCATTTCTCATAGTCCATTACCTCTCATCTTCCTTCCTTGTTCTCCGTTTGTCTGGTTATCTGTCCCCCTCCCTTTCTCTCGGGCCAAGGAGGGACTTGCCTCTACTGCTGATGTCCAGAGTGTTATAACACGCTGAGATACAGCACATGTACTGTGTGACATAATTCCTGTGATGCCAGACACCCTTCTTCTGTGGGATTGTTGAGTAATAAATAGATCATTGTAGGTCTGAACAGACACTGCTGACTAGTAGTGTTGTTACTCATGGAGAGATGGGAGTTCCTTTCAGCTCTCTTTTTTTATTATCTTCTCTGCCTCTGCCCTTGTTCATACACCGGTAGCACATCCACTGAACAACTGTTGTTGTTTGACTGTGAGCTTCACATGTGGGCTCTTTCATGTTGCTTTTAACTGAACAACTAGACTCAACAATGAGTTTAAGCCACAGGTTTAAGATCAACACAGATGGGTAAAAACAACAAAGCTTGATGATCACACGGTTTTCAATTGAGTTCATTCAGGACTTTTCTGAGTAACCTAGTCATCATGGCCCAAATGTCAATAATTTCCAGAATCCCAGGCCATGATGTCACTTTGCTCACAGAGCAGAGCGGTCTCAGACTGGACACCTCCTTTATGTTGCTCATAGCACTGTTTCAGCCACTATGCTTGTTTTAGATGATGTGTTAAATTGCCTAGGTCATAAAAAACATTGTGCTGCCCTATTTATAGACTGTCTGAAATAGGCCTGGACAAAGTCTTGCAAATGGTTTAAACTCAATATTAGGTGTTCCTAACGTTTGGTATACTCTGTGTAGAGAATAGGCCAGGCTGCCATTTCGGACATAGCCACATCAACATAATTTTTGAAGGATGGTCACTAGGCTTCATAAAATCATGTGTTGTCCAAGTTGCATGCATTATGGGATTCCCCTGCTGTTGGTAGCCTAAGTCAGGGCAGGGCACATGTTATGATCTCACCCCTAATCCTCAACAGGTGGGCTTTGGACTAGAATGAATTTGTTTATTTGATTAGCTGTAGGCCTTATAGTAGAAACCCTGACCTATAGTTCCAAGGATCGAGTGACAATGGCCTTTGAAATAGGCCTAAAAAGTGATCAAGCTTTGTGTAGGGCAGGTTATGCTATGTTGTCAAAAGTGTTAAAGCACCCTGCAGCAACTGATAATGTAATAAAATGCCAATAATGTAATAAATGCTGATTATGTAATAAATATGCTGAATGTATAATGTAATAAAGTTTTTGCGCATAATGTAATAATTATTAATGTGACGTTGTTTCATGGTCCCCTGGAGGTTTTTGTGTAGTTCCTGGTTTGTCCCGGGGACATCTCAGAGGGCGTTTTTAGGACATTCTTAGGATGTTTTGTCATGGTCCCCCGAAGGTTCTTGTACCCGACTTGTTTGCTTGTGTGTTTCAAAGAGCTGTCAGTCAAGGCGAGGTCATGAATTAAAGCTTCCGGCCCACTCAGCCTGTTCTTTCAGGCTTCCTGGTAGTTAGAGATGAGAGAAAAGGTACAATATCTTCCATTTGAGCTTTATAATAGTGTACAAATATTATGGGTGATGTTTTGGTCATTCAAAATATTTTTTTACTTGGGAAAATATTTTGGCCAGTATCCGCTTATTTTCATAAAACTGCCACAGCGAGTTGATCCCTGCAATGCAAGGATTTATTTTGCAAACCATCTGCCAAATCCATCCATTACGGACTGTTCTCCCTCTCAAGCGCTCCTTCTCGAGGATGCTTTCAAATCAATATTTTCTGCTTTGCCTTATCATCAAATGAATAGGTTGTTGTCATCGGAGCTATTGAAAATCGGATAGCTTCCTTATGTTTCAGTAAACCATTAGCCAACACCTTAAAGATTAAACAGTGTCATCATTCAAGTTTACTATCTCTTCATTTTATTTAGGTGGTTAAATGTATTTTTTCCTGTTATTGTGAACTGTAGGCTATAACAAGTTAAACCATTAAATTGAAGGCCTATCACAAACCTATTTTTGTCTGCGATTCTAGTAGGCTAATAAAAGCATGTTGTTCGCAGCATAAACCAGCCTATTATCACTGAAGTTCACTCATTTATTGGTGATGGATACTTTAACTGTACGTTTAGGCTACTGTTAAAGCACTCACATGGGCTAGTTCTCTGCCAGAGCGCGTGAGATAACTAGTCCTACCGGTAAGTGCGGTCTAAGCGATTCCCTTATGACATCACCTTACCTCCCTTCATTGATTCCATTGATGGAAAACCTTTGTTTACCTCTTGCGTGGTACACATTTCATTCAACATTTCATTCTAGCTCACAATCAAGAACGGCTGTGTATTCCCTCCAGCAGTGGTGAAATGTAGGCCTATGACTATGTAGCCTTGTGACACTGTCCTACTGGACTTTCTGCCGGTCCCACACACAGCCCACAGAGGGAAAAGGTCTCCTTGTCAGGAGGCAGGTAGCTTAGTGGTTAAGAGCGTTGTGCCAGTAACCGAAAGGTCGCTGGTTCTAATCCCCGAGCCCACTAGGTGAAAAATCTGTCGATGTGCCCTTGAGCAAGGCACTTAACCCTAATTGCTCCTGTAAGTCGCTCTGGATAAGAGCGTCTGCTAAATGACCAATTATTATTATTATAAGCTCATACTAGTCTTTATTATTAATAATTCCAAGAAAAACGAAAATACATTTTACAGTAGACTATGCATTGCCTAACTAAAACATCCATTAATACATTGAAAGTCCTTCAAAATAGAAACTACAGTACATACAGTGGGGGAAAAAAGTATTTAGTCAGCCACCAATTGTGCAAGTTCTCCCACTTAAAAAGATGAGAGAGGCCTGTATTTTTCATCATAGGTACACGTCAACTATGACAGACAAATTGAGAGAAAAAAATCCAGAAAATCACATTGTAGGATTTTTTATGAATTATGGTGGAAAATAAGTATTTGTCACCTACAAACAAGCAAGATTTCTGGCTCTCACAGACCTGTAACTTCTTCTTTAAGAGGCTCCTCTGTCCTCCACTCGTTACCTGTATTAATGGCACCTGTTTGAACTTGTTATCAGTATAAAAGACACCTGTCCACAACCTCAAACAGTCACACTCCAAACTCCACTATGGCCAAGACCAAAGAGCTGTCAAAGGACAGCAGAAACAAAATTGTAGACCTGCACCAGGCTGGGAAGACTGAATCTGCAATAGGTAAGCAGCTTGGTTTGAAGAAATCAACTGTGGGAGCAATTATTAGGAAATGGAAGACATACAAGACCACTGATAATCTCCCTCGATCTGGGGCTCCACGCAAGATCTCACCCCGTGGGGTCAAAATGATCACAAGAACGGTGAGCAAAAATCCCAGAACCACACGGGGGGACCTAGTGAATGACCTGCAGAGAGCTGGGACCAAAGTAACAAAGCCTACCATCAGTAACACACTACGCCGCCAGGGACTTAAATCCTGCAGTGCCAGACGTGTCCCCCTGCTTAAGCCAGTACATGTCCAGGCCCGTCTGAAGTTTGCTAGAGTGCATTTGGATGATCCAGAAGAGGATTGGGAGAATGTCATATGGTCAGATGAAACCAAAATATAACTTTTTGGTAAAAACTCAACTCGTCGTGTTTGGAGGACAAAGAATGCTGAGTTGCATCCAAAGAACACCATACCTACTGTGAAGCATGGGGGTGGAAACATCATGCTTTGGGGCTGTTTTTCTGCAAAGGGACAAGGACGACTGATCCGTGTAAAGGAAAGAATGAATGGGGCATGTATCGTGAGATTTTGAGTGAAAACCTCCTTCCATCAGCAATGGCATTGAAGATGAAACGTGGCTGGGTCTTTCAGCATGACAATGATCCCAAACACACCGCCCAGGCAATGAAGGAGTGGCATCGTAAGAAGCATTTCAAGGTCCTGGAGTGGCCTAGCCAGTCTCCAGATCTCAACCCCATAGAAAATCTTTGGAGGGAGTTGAAAGTCTGTGTTGCCCAGCGACAGCCCCAAAACATCACTGCTCTAGAGGAGATCTGCATGGAGGAAAGGGCCAAAATACCAGCAACAGTGTGTGAAAACCTTGTGAAGACTTACAGAAAACATTTGACCTGTGTCATTGCCAAAAAAGGGTATACAACAAAGTATTGAGAAACTTTTGTTATTGACCAAATACTTATTTTCCACCATAATTTGCAAATAAATTCATTAAAAATCCTACAATGTGATTTTCTGGATTTTGATTTTCCTCATTTTGTCTGTCATAGTTGACGTGTACCTATGATGAAAATTACAGGCCTCTCTCATCTTTTGAAGTGGGAGAACTTGCACAATTGGTGGCTGACTAAATACTTTTTTCCCCCACTGTATCTTAGTGTTAGAAAGTAGAATATAAACTATATATATGCTACTGTGGGTGTGGGTCACAGTTATTAAAAGAATAGTGGTAAAGAATAGTGATAAAAGAAACGAAAAAATGCTAGGCAGAGCGGGAGAGAAGGCAGACACCATTTTTTAAATCTGCTCGAATTACGCTCTGCTCCTCGCATTCAAAAGCAGCCCTGCTTTAGGCTATCAAAGAACTGGCAATGAATATTCATATCAATGGATGGAATCAGTGAATGAATAGCTGCAGCAACCATTACACGGTCTGACAAGCTGCATAACAAATGAGGCCTAATTAGACTTAAGAACAATTAAGTAGTTCAAACGAGATAAAGTCATTCAAACGACTTAGAATCTCATTTGAACGACTTAGTATCTCGGTAGAATATATATATTTTTTCAAAAGTCTTCCACACACATTGATCTAAGTGTACTAACATATAGTACCAGTCAAAAGTTTGGACACACCTACTCATTCAAGGGTTTTTCTTTTTTTTTAAACTATTTTCTACATTGTAGAATAATAATGAAGACATCAAAACTATGAAATAACACATATGGAATCATATAGTAACCAAAAAATGTTCAACAAATCAAAATATATTTTGTATTTTAGATTCTTCAAAGTAGCCACCCTTTGCCTTGATGACAGCTTTGCACACTCTTGGCATTCTCTCAACCAGCTTCATGAGGTAGTCACCTGGAATGCATTTCAATTAACAGGTGTGCCTTGTTAAAAGTTAATTTGTGGAATTTCTTTCCTTCTTAATGCGTTTGAGCCAATCAGTTGTGTTGTGACAAGGTAGGGGTGGTATACAGAAGATAGACCTATTTGGTAAAAGACCAAGTCCATATTATGGCAAGAACAGCTCAAATAAGCAAAGAGAAAAGACAGTCCATCATTACTTTAAGACAAATGGTGGTCACACCAGATAGTGTTTGGTTTTCTGATCCACGCTCCTAACGTAAGGTTCTGTATTTATTTTCTTAGTCAACCTTGTGTTCTTGAACGTAGCCTTGTTTCTTTGTGTTCTTGAACGTAGCCCTGTCTTTCATTTTTGTTCATTGATTTCACCTGTGTTAGTTACTCACCTGGTCTCATTAGCTCCTTATTTAGTTCCGTTCATTCTGTTTGTGCCTTGTGAGGTATTGTTTGTTTTGACTCTACTAAGCCTTTTTCTAGCTCGTTTGTGAGCCTTCAGTCCTAGTTTTTGATTCTCCTGCCTGTTTGTCTACCTGTGTATGACCATTGCCTGCCTGTGACCACGATTCCTGCCTTTTGCGAAGGCGAAATAAACACCTGCCACGCTCTGCGCGTGAATCTACACCTTTTTCTCCCTGAGTATTCATTACACCTACCTTTTTTTAAAGGTATCTTTGACCAACATATGCTTATCTGTAATCCCAGTCATGAAATCCATGGATTAGGGCCTAATGAATTTCTTTAAATTGACTGATTTGCTTATATGAAAATATTTTTAAATGTTGCATTTATATTTTTGTTTAGTGTATTACATTATAAATGCAAAAGTTATTACATTATTAGCAGCTATTACATTTTTTGGCAGTTATTATCAGTTGCTACACACCCTCCCATAAAAGCCACACAATTCTAAACATGGTTCTGTATTTAACATTTAATTTGTGGCATTTAACTATCCATATAGACCTTTTGTTAACTTTCCAAAATAAGTCTATGCGCCTTTGGCTGATGCTGGGGCCACCAACAGGACCATTGACTATGCTCACAATCTCATTAAATATCTGCTGTTTAGGGCCGGGACAATTCAAAAAAGCATAATGTCAGGCATGTTTCAGTCATTGTAGCTTACTTCAAAGGATAACAATTTTCACGAGCATACTGCGTAGTTACTACGTGTAAAACCATGTGTAAAAACTAGGTTACTATGCCCATAGGCTACGAGTAGGTCCATTGTATTTGTTATATTTATATTTTTTATGTACGTTCAAATGCCTCCTGTGAAGTAGTGACGTGCGACACACGCCTAGCTTCCTGAAACGGGTCACATATACATTCAACAAAAGACAATAAAAATCTGTTGACATCGAACTGTGGATGTATAGACTTCAAAATTGCAATAAATGCAGTAAAGAGGTCAACGGAACTTGACCAAAACAATGGAAAGGCGTGGGGGAAAGATCCCAAATCTCCTCATTGCCCCCAAGCAAAATTCAGGTAAAGAGTATAATGATTGTATGGATGTCAACCGGTGGCGGTTTATGAGCATGGCCTTATTTCTATTAAAGCATATTGGATGACTGTTATTCATATTCCATTCACCCAGCTCAATGTAACATCGATAGGTTTAGGCTACTACATGATACTCACATTTTCCCTATACCCATCATGAGGTTGCTACAACCTAGCCTAAGTTTACAACGTAGGTGCACAGGTCAAGAGAAATTTGAGTAATCAAGGTGACAGACATTGACACATTCAATACCGCCTTGCACACTCTTGCCTGCATCTAGCTGATCTAGGGTGTAATCATTAGTCCAACTATTGCAAACAAGAGTTTCTATTGGACAAATTCAGGTATGTTTATCCCCGTTTCATTCCGTTTGCTTCTGTTTAAGAAACGTTTTTCAACAGAATTGGTGGAATGAATACATCCCTGATCACACTTTGATTCTTGTATAATTCCTTCTCGCATCTATGCACTCTCCTCCTCTAACCTTTTCCCTTCGCCTGTTGACTTCAGTGCACAACACATCAGCTGTCTGTGACCAGGCGAAAAAACCTTTCCAAACCAAACCTTCATATCATAACCCACTAACCGCTACACACAGCCTACATCGTTGTCACCATATTAATGTCATACTCCAACATAGCTACTAGAACTAAGGCGTTGTAAACCCGCTTCAATCATACAGTACAGTGTACAGTTAGCAGCAATCAGTTTAGCAGTTACACCGGCGGTCCCCAGTGGCAATTAATAAAACCAAAAGCTTACCTTGACTAGGAAGAGTTCCAGTGTTGGATAGCCAGCTAGCTAACATAGCATCCATCTCTGTTTGAGTAGGCTAAACTAGCTAGCTGCATTCGCTACATAAGTACTGAAAGTGAAAGTGGGAAAATATATAACAAAATATAGCTAGCTCTCAGTCTTTTGCTTCTCCCCCTTCCTCCTCTGAGGAGCCTCCACTGATGTCAACCCCAATACATGTTAATGTCATTGTCACCAATGAACTGCATTACAGTTAAAAACGACTTTGTCTACCACCACCGATTTATGTATGCTAGCTACGCTACCAGCTTATACTGACAGGAATAAGCATTTAGCATTCACTTCTTCTAAACCTGAAAAGGGACTGTTATGCAGCTAAAAAAAGAAGCCTAATATATCAACATCTGACTTTAGTAACCACATTGTGGGCCTATTACAATATATCAATCATAGACGAATATCCACTTTTTTAGATCATATTTGTTAAATGTGCGTCAATCCGGCTTTCTTCTTCTATGCCCCACGGTCTTGATCCTCACAATTGTAACCTTGGTTGTGCGGTCCGCAAACAACATGTCCACTCCAACAATGAGAACGGTAAAATACTGTAATAATAATATATTGAATACATGAACAGAAATTACCATAACCAAACAAACATTGTAGAGTAGAAATTATTGGAATTAACAGTAAATGTACTACTGGTGATACAGGTGTGCCATCCCGGCGGCCTCCACAATGGATTAGTCCACTGAGACAGGCGTGAATCAGACAGGTGTCTCGTGTGCCATAAGAAATATATATTTGAGACTGCTCAAAACAGTCTATCAACCAAACAATCTACCATTCGACTAAATGGGGTCAGCCCTAATAAAGTATGAACTGGTTGACTGGTGAGCTTAATGTTGCTCATTTCACAGTGGTTTCAGAGTCCCGCATTAAAAGCTAAAACGCTAATATTTGTGTAAACTCTTTAGAATTCTAATCTGTGAGTGTCACTGAGTCACTGAGTATGCATAAGTATTTGATACATCAGAAAAGCAGAACTTAATATTTGGTACAGAAACCTTTGTTTGCAATTACAGAGATCATACGTTTCCTGTAGGTCTTGACCAGGTTTGCACACACTGCAGCAGGGATTTTGGCCCACTCCTCCATACAGACCTTCTCCAGATCCTTCAGGTTTTGGGGCTGTCGCTGGGCAATATGGACTTTCAGCTCCCTCCAAAGATTTTCTATTGGGTTCAGGTCTGGAGACTGGCTAGGCCACTCCAGGACCTTGAGATGCTTCTTACGAAGCCACTCCTTAGTTGCCCTGGCTGTGTGTGTCGGTCGTTGTCATGCTGGAAGACCCAGCCACGACCCATCTTCAATGCTCTTACTGAAGGAAGGAGGTTGTTGGCCAAGATCTCGCGATACATGGCCCCATCCTGGATTTTTGTTTAAGATTCTGTCTCTCACAGTTGAAGTGTACCTATGATAAAAAATTACAGACCTCTACATGCTTTGTAAGTAGGAAAACCTGCAAAATCGGCAGTGTATCAAATACTTGTTCTCCCCACTGTATATGATATGATATGGTCATTATTTCAACTGGCTAGCCAGCTAACTTAACATTAGCTAGCTAACAAGCTAGAAACTAAACAAAACATTGTTTAGAAAGTTGCTTTTAGTTCCTGGTTTGCTAGATTGACATATACTCAATTCATTTTTAAACGGATGGGTTTATTAATGTTAAAATACATCAGTTATGCTATTTTGGACCACCAGGCTGCTGATGTCATGCTGCCTGTCGTTTTTGTGTTTATTATTTTTCATAACGATAATGACAAGTTTGATGTCGGACGACAATAGAATGTTAATGATATCACTGTGACAACTGTATACAGACATAGACATAGTATAAATCAGCCTTTAGTCTTGAAATCTTTGGTTGTTTAGTACACTACTGTACTCACTGTTTAGCCTCACGTGAATCCTTAAAGAGATGGATGGGGCTAAGGCTCAAGAGTGTGTGAACAATGCTGAATGGGTGTAGACAAAGAAGAGCTCTCCAGTAGGTGTCCCAAAACATTCAAGGGCCATTTTCTCAAAAGTAAGGTTACAAGTTGATCAACTTTCAAAGCAGAATTACATTCCCATTGTTCCTCAACTGTAGTGTATGTATGATATACCTTTTTTATAGCTCTGAGTCTCAAATTTTGCTACATAAGACCAAATCGAGCCGGTCGGTCACATATGAATGTTCAATGTGCACAATAGGTTGAATAGTGAGGTGAATTTCCACAGTTAAATTCCCACAGTAAGAGCTACGATGCTAATATTTGTGTAAACTCTTTAGAATTGTACTCTGTGGGTGTCACTGAGTAGGCTGGTACCCCATTTAATGGTCCCAAGATCCAATAGTTAAGGCTGTACATTCCAATATAAGTATGCCCCCATTGCAATTCTGAAGTAAATACATCCACAATGCAATTTCATCATATTTTTACGTTTTGTGTCAAATGAACTAATAATTGTATTTTGTTGAATTTTTATAACAACATTCCAAACTTGTTTAGCATTATCTAGTCTAATTGTGGCATGATTCCACTATTTTTATTAGTTTCAATGGGGGACATTTATTTTGAAGGCGAACCGCCGATTCCACTATTGCTGCTCATGCCAATGTTGTTCCCAACAAACTGGTCTGTTGAAGCCCCACACTCACAAAAGTTACATCCCGGAATGTAAGATATCAATAAATGAAGTACCAATAAGCTTCCAGCATAGCGAGAAATGGTTACATTGTAGCCTATAAATGGTAGGCTACAATGATTAGGTTACAATGTAACCGAGCTGCAGTAGGCTGCGGAATAGATATTTTTATGAAAAAGCCCTTGATTTCCTCAAGGGTTAGAGACAATTTATGCTTGATCCGAAAATGTGGTCGGAGGCGCCGTATGGATGGTGTGACGCAATCGCGGAGCCTCCAGAGGCACTCACAGGCCAAATTGAGCTCCGTACCGCATCGCCATGTGCCTCTCAAATTTTGTAACGGCCAATGCAGGCGTCAGATTGACCATGCAGCACCTTTAGGGCTGGCCTCTTGCAGTTAACGTACATTACATTACATTTACATTTACGTCATTTAGCAGACGCTTTTATCCAGAGCGACTTACAAATTGGTGCATTCACCTTATAGCCAGTGGGATAACCACTTTACAATATGTTTTTTTTCTTCTTTTTTCTTTGGGGTGGGGTAAGGGGGGGTAGAAGGATTACTTTATCCTATCCCAGGTATTCCCTAGCCCCTACCCCCTAGCCCCTACCCCCTAGCCCCTAGACCCTAGCCCATACCCCCTAGCCCCTATCCCCTACCCCCTACCCCCTACCCCCTAGCCCCTAGCCCCTACCCCCTACACCCTAGCCCCTAGCCCCTAGCCCCTAGCCCCTACCCCCTAGCCCCTACCCCCTAACGTACTGCTTCATGCATCTTTTCTTACCTCTCCTCCGCTCTCTCGGTTGGCAGATCCGTTCATTTCCATGTTTTCACTCGCCATATTTGCCTCTTAACTATTGAATTTGAAGTAAAGCGCGGTGAATTCCAAAAGTATTGTGTGAGTCCGTGTCGCTGCCAGTGCCTGCCTGGTCTGTCGGTGTGTGAAATAAAGACGGAGAAGTGGAAGACTGCCTACCACCCTTCAACTAGGGGGCGTCTCTACACTGGGGCTCGGAAACTGAAAGTAGACCCTGCATTGTGTCATGTTCTGATCTATATGGAATGCCCCTTTCATTTGGACTGGGAAACAAGGGATTCCACAAAGTTTCACGAAATAAAATATACAATAAAGGGTTTTGATGAAATTATGTAAATTCTCGTTGATCTGATCATTTACAGGCCTCTGATTCTAACTTTGGGTTAGGCCTGATATGTATAGCTTTTGGTAAAATATCTTCCCAAACACCATTTCAACATCAACTGAATAGCATAATGCTTATTTTCGACTGTAACACCAGGGTCACACTGTTGTATAGGATACACCCTTATGTTATACTATGGAAATTGTGTGAGGACTTGTTAAGAGCAGAATCAACAACATCCTTTGCATAATCTCATACTGAACAGTTGCTTTGTGAGAAGGTGTTAAAGTTAACACTGAGCCATTGTTATGTAAATTACATCTGAAAAGTACAAGTGGCCATATGGAAACAGAAAGGTTTTTGGGGAAAAACACTGGGGTAAATCCTGTATGGAAATGCACCATAACTGTTGTAGAATGAGTCAGAATAATTATCAAATTTTCAGTGCTGACTGAAGGTGCCATCTTGCATACATCTTCAGTATATACACTGAGGGTACAAAACATTAGGAACACCTTCCTAATATTGAGTTTCACCCCCTTTTGCCATGAGAACAGCCTCAATTTGTCAGGGCATGGACTCTACAACTCTACAAGGTGTAGAAAGAATTCCACAGAGATGCTGGCCCATGTTGATTCCAGTGCTTCCCAGAGTTGTCCCAAGTTGACTGGATGTCCTTTGGGTGAGGGACCATTCTTAATACACATGGGAAACTGTTGAGCGTGAAAAGCCCAGCAGCGTTGCAGTTCTTGACACACTCAAACCGGTGCGCCTGGCACCTACTACCATACCCTGCTCAAAGGCACTTAAATATTTTGTCTTGCCCATTCACCCTCTGAATGGCACACATACACAATCAATCAATACACAGTCAATTGTTTCAAGGCTTAAAAATCCTTATTTAACCTGTATCATCCCGTTCATCTACACTGACTGAAGTGAATTTAACAAGTGACATCAATACACTCTTAGAAAAAAAGGTGCTATCTAGAACCTAAAAGGGTTCTTCGGCTGTCCCCATAGGAGAACCATTTGAAGTATCCTTTTTTGGTTCCAGGTAGAACCCTTTTGGTTCTAGGTAGAACCCTTTTGGGTTCAATGTCGAACCCTTTCCACAGAGGGTTCTACATGTAACCAAAAAGGGTTCTTCAAATGGTTATCCTATGGGGACAGCAGAATAACCCTTTTGGAACCCTTTTTTTCTAAGAGTGTATGGGATCATAGCTTTCACATGGATTCCCCCAGTCAGTCATGGAAAGAACAGGTGTTCCGAATGTTTTTTGTACACTCAGTGTATTTTCAGAAACGGAATACGTGAGCAGCAGTAATAGAACTCTCCTGTAGGTGGAACAGTCTGCAAGGGCAAAAATAGCACTGTCATGCAAGTTTCATTCGAACAGACATTGGCGCGTCGCCATTGAGAAATAAGAACTGAATAACTGTAGAACTGAACTGAATTAATAGAATATAACATATTTTTAAATTGTATTCTATTGAACAGAATATAATATATATTAAATTATCAAGAACAAGCATGTTGCCTACTTATCGCTGATCACTTTTAGGCTATAATTTGCTGGCTATTCTGTTCCATTCCAATCTATTCTATTTTGTTATTTTCTATTCTATTCTACTGCACATAACTCAAATTAATAGAATATAGGCTAAAATATATATTAGCCCATCAAGAAAAAGCAATTAACTTAGTGGTTAAGAGCGTTGTGCCAGTAACCGAAAGGTCGCTGGTTCTAATCCCCGAGCCGACTAGGTGAAAAATCTGTCGATGTGCCCTTGAGCAAGGCACTTAACCCTAATTGCTCCTGTAAGTCGCTCTGGATAAGAGCGTCTGCTAAATGACTAAAAAATAATGTAAATGTAAAAAATAATGTAAAAAATAATTTGCATGCTGTTCAATTATATTATATTCAGTTCAGTTCAGTAAAAAAACAATACAATAGAATAGGCAATTATCCTAGTGATCCCTTTTCGGATATAATTTGCATGTTTCTGCCGGGCACAGAGGGAGCGCCCTATAGGCTACCCGTCCTTCACCGGAGCCCGTAGCGTCATGCAGAGGATGGGAGGACACAGCGAGTGGTGTGGTCCATAACGACCCGTGTCACTGAGGCTGAAAGGTAGCGCCTAAAAACGTGCGCATTTATTGGATACGTGTTGTTGCTAGGGGCGTGGGTTTGTGTCTTAAAATTGGCCTGCCTCCTTGCCATGGAAAGTGTAATTCGAGAGAGACATGGCACAAATACTGTCCGAACGAACGGTGAGATGCTCTGAGCACATGCTCTGGGAGAAAACTGTGCCGCAGTGAGCAAACAATCTGATCTGATCAGCGCTTTGACCCAGCACCCGGACACCGCTCAACATAGGAACTGCCCCCCAGCCGAGGGCCGCGCATAGGGGGCGATGCGATGGAGGCGATGCTGCGAGATGGAGGTCACACCTCCCTGACTTCATTCTGCTTTTCAATCGATAAATAACCGTAATAAATACGCAATAAACAGCTACTGGATCGACTAGCCTACGATTATAGTGGTCACAGCTGCTCACCTGACAGTTGCATGTGATGGGTATTTTGAGGGATTAGAGAGAGGAACTATCCTGGCCCGACAACCGTGAGTGTTTATGGTAGCGGTTATACCTACCACGAGTTCTGCAGCCTACACTGTAACCAATTCGATCAGTTGATGAAACAAAGTCGCAATAAAGGCTTTACAGAAACTGCATATGATAGGAATGAATGACAGTTGTAATGTATTAATGCAACATTTCAATTGGCTGGTTGGCTGGCTGGCTTGATTTGTGATAAGATGAGCCGTATTAAATCAAGCAGTGGCACCATTGCAACTGTTTTAAGAGTTTGTCGTTATTAATAGCTATTTTAATAAATATTCTAGATATCTCAAGTGAGATTATTTTAGGGATGGTATAGCTACCTAACTGCGTCAGTACATGCGAACGTTGCAGGTAGCCTATGCACACACTCACTGCTGGGGAAGGACCATGATAGCAGTAGCCTCTGAATGTCACCGATAACTGTCTAAATATTTCCCGGGGATGGATTCCGGGGATGGCTCGGGCTCGGACGCGCCACTTGGATCCACATTCTCCTCGGTTCCCAATTTAGACTCTGACACCAACGCCAATATCCGTATCTATGAGAACGGTGGAGAGCGGAATGTCAACAACATAGAAACTGCAGCGCTGAGAGGGGCAAGCGACCCGAGCGCGTACCCCTTATCGGATTACCGGGGGCTGGTCCGTCAAAGATTTATTCGCAGAAGTTTGTGGTTTTCGGACCCCGACGACCAAGCGTTGGATGCGCCAGAATGCGTCAACAGCACTCCAATGCTGAGCGTCCACCTGCGCACCATCGTGGACCGAACCCGCGCTCTCGGACCTCGTGTGGCTTTCCAGGTCCAGGAAAGCTCGAGCTCCGAGAGCCAAGTGGGGCAGAAGGACAGTGCGACTGAGAGTGTGAGCGTGGATGAAGAGAAGGAGAGGAGCGAGGCCGAGCCAAAACCAGACGATGCAGCTGCACCGTCGCCCGATACTACCGGGAAAGCGGGGATTGATGAGAACGAAGATGAGAACGAGATAAAAGCCGTGTCCACCTCACCCGGGGGCCGGTTTCTCAAGTTCGATACTGAGCTCGGGAGAGGGTCATTCAAGACTGTCTACAAGGGTCTGGACACAGACACCTGGGTAGAAGTTGCTTGGTGTGAACTCCAGGTAATAGAATAACTCCATTATCATTTCTAATTGTTTGGAACTAGAAAAATCCTCCTGAGTACATTCATATCCAGATGATAAGTTCTTACACTGCAACATGGACAACATAACCATTTTATGAAGCTGTAATAACAACCTACACTTATGGCTGCCTAAAGTGCCCATATAGCCTTTTGCACTAAATGTGGCGGTTGTTAGTGCATTAAGTATGCTGAATTCCTCCCAGACTTTTTTTTGGTCATGAAATCATAGTTTATTATGAGGCCTATGATGCCACTGCACAGACACACTGACAAAAACTATGTGTTGCATTTAAAACCATTATGGTAGATTGCCACCACTTGAACCTGTGCTATTTCAGTTGCATGCATTTTCTTTATCTGCATGTCTGGGATTTAAATACCCCCCCCCACACACACACACACACACAAGAGTCACTACAAAGATGAGAGCGGGTGGCAGCTGGTAGTACTGATGATGGGATGCCAGTTTTGATGATTGGTTATCAGGTTTTCACAGCCTGTCCCCTCCCTCCACCCACACATGAAAGCAGACTCTGTCACCATTGTGTTTAATACAACTCTATTCTGTACATTTTCAGCGGACGGAAAAAATACCCACGTTTCTGCAGATCAGATCTGGATTGGCTCCATTTGCAGTCAATAAGAGGTTTCTGTACTGCTGCATAGAGCGTTTTAGGGTGTCGCCAAAGGAGCTGAGAGAGGAGTTTAGTGTCAGAGCAGAGACGGGTGAAAGAGAGAAAGACTCGGCTAGCTCACTGACATGATCTTATACCAGCAGTTTAGAAGTTCCACTAATATGTGTATGGATAGATGTGGTAATTTCACGATGCACAGCCTACTCTATGCATCATGCCAGCCGTTAGGTTATGCCCATGAATACACTGTTTCAGTGCACAGGTAGGTGAGTCGGAGTCTGTGTTGTGGTTCCAGAACTAAGCCAAGGGAAGGGAGAGGGAGATATTCAGTATTTCAGACACATAGGGGCGAGAGTGTTTTTGTCATGGAGCTGATGCAGCATTTCTCAGTGTTAGACCCAGGAGCGGAGAGATTGTGTTTTTAGGAACAGTTTTTGCCTGGCGCCCACTCATTGTTTAGGTTCCCCTGGGGAAGTCAGGCACAAATATCATACTGTACCCCCAAGACATGCTAACCTCTCAGCATTACCAATAACAGGGGATGTTAGCATTTTTTTGGGGGGGGGGGGTATGATATTTATGCCTCTAACTTTCTCACTCATCATTATTCACGATTCCACATTAATGTATACGTGTTTAGAAACATATTATATTCTTATTTACAATAAAAGTGACAGCAAAATGACACAATACATTATTTACCAATTTAGGTACCAAATAATCTGAAATACAACCAAAACAAACTGTAAATGCGTCCAACAAGTTTGTATAGTCACAGTCTTGATGTAGTCTTTGCGTGATAGGAATATGGGACCAAATACTAAACTTTTGACTACTTTAATACACATATAAGTGAATTTGTACAAATACTTTTGGTTTCCTAAAATGGAGGGACTATATACAAAAAGTGCTGTAATTTCTAAACAGTTGACTCAATATGGATGAAAGTACCCTCAAAATAAATCTGACAGTCTGCACATTAACCCCATAGTCATTGTATAATTTCAAATCCAAAGTGCTGGAGTACAGAGCCAAAACAACAAATAATTTGTCACTGTGCCTATACTTTCTGACCTAACTATATAAAGAGAGATAGAAAAGAGAGCGATAAAGAGATACAGAAAGATTAGCCAGATGAAAGAGAATGAGAGCGCAAAATAGAGATGATCGAGTGAAAAATATTAAAAAAGACAAAGGGACACAGCCATCTGCAGAAATACTTCACAAATTTACAAATATTAATGTAGTAAATCAACTGATGATATGGATGTGTTTCCCTCTCTCTCTGTCCCTATCTCTGGGTCAGACAGACTTACCAGGTCCTGATCGTCTCGGATCAGTGGATGATGCAACATGATTCAGGGAAAAACTGCCAGCTGCCAGTGTGTCTGATAAGCTGAGGATACAGTTCTACACACACGCAAACAAACATTCCACTCCGCACATCTCCACATCAAGTGGACAGGCTGATTGGTTGATAGTACAGCATACTAAACTAAACGACAGCCTATCCCCTGGGGCGTTACTGGGCAGATCTGTCTGGAGAGGCTAAACCTGCTGATGCAAGCGCTCCCTTCTGCAGAGAGAGAGAGAGAGAGCGGGAAAAATGGAGAGGAAAGAGAGGGAGTGTGCGCCTGTGCAGGTCATTTGGGAATAAGCAGTGATCGGCTCTAGCTGCTCTGTATCAGGGACAGTAAAACTATGTGTCTTATATCATAGCTAATTGCAGTCATGCTGGGTCTCACCCATTCCATTAAAGCAGAGTGCTAATATAGCTTCTCTGTCTTCTTTAGCAATGACAAAGCTCAGTAAGGCAGGCAGATGCTGTAGCTGTACTTTAAGTGCCACGCCCTGCCTGGATAAAAATCCATAGACTGACACAGGATCCTTAGATAGCCCAGAGCAACTCCCTATCCCCAGTTAACCTCCTTCCAGAATAGCATCTGCTTACCAATATGTTAGATATCCAGATATACGGCAGTTTAGGTCACTATGGGCTTTAGGTGAAATAAGACTCTGCACCTACTCCAATAATCCATGCTTGTGAATGGACATTGCTGTGCACATTCTTTATTACTGCCATCTAGAAATCTGTAACACTATATGCACACGGTTCCCAGAAAAAAAGTAGGTGTGTGTGTGAGAGAGAGCGAGAGAGAGAGAGAGTGTGTTGTGTGTGTGTGTGTGTGTGTGTGTGTGTGTGTCTTTGCCACTCAGTATCTCAGTATTGTTGCATTCCTCTGTCTGTGGCCTTTGACATTTGTCTCTCTGAGTCTCAGTGGGTATCTCATTACTGTATTCTGCAGTCCCCCTCTTCTCCATCACTGTTTAGTGGTAATTTGGGTAATGTACACAGTACACAGGTGTGTATACTGTACATAGTGTATACTGTCTGTATACTGTACATGTGTATACTGTCAGTATACTGTACATAGTGTATACTGTCTGTGTACTGTACATGTGTATACTGTCTGTATACTGTAAAAAGTGTATACTGTCTGTATACTGTACATGTGTATACTGTCTGTATACTGTACATGTGTATACTGTCTGTATACTGTACATAGTGTATACTGTCTGTGTACTGTACATGTGTATACTGTCTGTATACTGTACATGTGTATACTGTCTGTATACTGTACATGTGTATGCTGTCTGTATACTGTACATAGTGTATGCTGTCTGTATACTGTACATGGTGGGAAGAGTTGATATGTGTTTGTATATGTATGTAAGAGTATGAATTTTGTTACAGCCAAGATTTTGGGTTCATCTTTCGTTTTGTGGGTCTCATGATTCAAGGCTGTGACGGACGTGTATTGCTGTGTGTGTGTGTCCAGCTGACAGTGAAGATCCTCTACATCTTTGTTCCACTCAGGACAGTCTGGAAGAAACCTTAGACAACCCCGGGGTTGGTAGGATCTTCACTGTCAGCTGTTTCACTATTTAAACTACAGTTAAGGGAAGAGGAGGGCCAAAATATTGATCCACAGTAAACTCCATCACCCAGAGGCTGTAAAGCCAAAGACACAGGCGTTAAATTCAGCTTCTCCTCACTACAGCTGTGGATGGCATCCTCATTCTTGGTGTAGAGACTATATCTGCTTCACAACACCTTTGTAACAAAGCAAGACTCTGATCTCATTTCTGACATCACCACATATCATACAATTAGACATCTTTACTGAACATCATGCTTTCATAAGAGGACGTCACCTATGACATCATGTCCAGATCACACTGCATGTTGTATACAGTTGAAGTCGGAAGTTTACATACACCTTAGCCAAATACATTTCAACTCAGTTTTTCACAATTCCTGACATTTTATCCTAGTAAACATTCCCTGTCTTAGGTCAGTTAGGATCACCACTTTATTTTAAGAATGTACATGTCAGAATAATGTAAGAAATTCTATTCATTTATTCTTCATCACACCCATGGTCAGAATTGACATCACTCAATAGTATTTTATAATGAACGGTCAAACGTTCAGTACCTTCCAATCCACATAATGTTGGTGAATTGAATTCTCGAAGTGTTAACTACACGTTAGCCATCATTGTACCAGTTTTTCATTCCATGTCTAGAATCAGGGATTTGTGATGGCCACTCCAATACCTTCACTTTGTTGTCTTTAAGCCATTTAGCTAAAACTTTGGAAGTATGCTTGGGGTCATTGTCCATTTGGATGACCCATTTGTGACCAAGCTTTAACTTCCTGACTGATGTCTTGAGATGTTGCTTCAATATATCCACATAATTTTCCTTCCTCATGATGGCATCTATTTTGTGAAGTGCACCAAGCCCTCCTGCAGCAAAGCACCCCCACAGCATGATGCTGCCACCCCTGTGCTTCACAGTTGGGATGGTGTTCTTCGCCTTGCAAGCCACCCCCTTTTTTCTCCAAACATAACGATGGTCAACATGGCCAAACAGTTCTATTTTTGTTTCAATCAGACCAGAGGACATTTCTCCAAAAAGTACGATCTTTGTCCCCATGTGCAGTTGCAAACCGTAGTCTGGCTATTTAATGGCGGTTTTGGAGCAGTGGCTTCTTCCTTGCTGAGCGGCCTTTCAGGTTATGTCGATATAGGACTAGTTTTACAGTGGATATAGATACTTTTGTACCTGTTTCCTCCAGCATCTTCACAAGGTCCTTTGCTGTTGTTCTGGGATTGATTTGCACTTTTCGCACCAAAGTACAGTCATCTCTAGGAGACAGAACGCGTCCCCTTCCTGAGCGGTATGACAGCTGCGTGGTCCCATGGTGTTTATACTTGCGTACTATTGTTTGTACTGATGAACGTGGTACCTTCAGGCGTTTGGAAATTGCTTCCAAGGATGAACCAGACTTGTGGAGGTCTACCATTTTTTTAATGAGGTCTTGGCTGATTTATTTTGATTTTCCCATGATGTCAAGCAAAGATGCACTGAGATTGAAGGTAGGCAATCTTCAACAGGTACACCTCCAATTGACTCAAATGATGTCAATTAGCCTAACAGAAGCTTCTAAAGCCATGACATCATTTTCTGGAATTTTCCAAGCTGTTTAAAGGCACATTCAACTTAGTGTATGTAAACTTCTGACCCACTGGAATTGTGATACAGTGAATTATAAGTGAAATAATCTGTCTGTAAACAATTGTTGGAAAAATTACTTGTGTTATGCACAAAGTAGATGGCCTAACCGACTTGTCAAAACTATAGTTTGTTAACAAGAAATTTGTGGAGTGGTTGAAAAACAAGTTTTAATGACTCCAACCTAAGTGTATGTAAACTTCTGACTTCAACTGTACATGGCAGTTACGAGAATAATGATTCCCACCCCTACGCTTTCCTCACTCAAAATATCACACTTGTGTTCACTCCCAGTGTTTTCCCTATATTCATTTGGCAGAGGTGGCCGATCGCTGCTGAATTGTTTCCACCGCTCCAAAAGATATGTACTTTTTAAAATATATATATTTCTACCGAGACGCACTTTTAAATAGATAATTCTGGCAATTAAGCCCATTTTCTACTTACCCAGAGTCATATGAACTCATGGATACCATTTTTATGTCTCTGCATGCAGTTTGAAGGAAGTTTCTAACTCGCGTTAGTGCAATGACTGGAAGTCTATGGGAACAGCTACCTTTGCCACCGCTGCTGAAAAAAATCCTAGGACTCCCAAACATGGCCCACAGGAGTCCTACAGTCATGGGTTTTTAGACCAATCACATAACTGTCGAGACACTGGAATAATGACAAATGGATGTTTTGAACTTGAACACAACATGGTCAAATCCTCATAAGATCATTAGTGGCAATATTTGTAAACTATTTCTATTGATACTTTCAAAATCTCATTGTCTCCCCTTTCTTCTCATAGGACCGTAAGCTGACCAAAGCAGAGCGTCAGAGGTTTAAGGAGGAGGCAGAGATGTTGAAGGGTCTCCAGCACCCAAACATTGTGCGTTTCTACGACTTCTGGGAGTCACCGGTCAAAGGGAAGAAGTGCATCGTTCTGGTGACAGAGCTCATGACCTCAGGGACACTAAAAACGTGAGACAAACACAACCTGCAGCATCCCTCCCTCCCTATCACACAACACTGCTGAGCTTAACATTAATCACAAGGCAGTGGTGGAAAAAGTATCCAATTGTCATACTTGAGTAAAAGTAAAGATACCTTAACAGAAAATGACTCAAGTCAAAGTGAAAGTCACCCAGTACAGTAAAATACTACTTGAGTAAAAGTCTAAAAGTATTTGATTTTAAATATACTTAAGTATCAAAAGTGAATGTAATTTCAAAAAAGTAAAAGTATAAATCATTTCAAATTCCTTATATTAGGCAAACCAGACGGCACGATATTCTTGTTTTTTAAATTTACGGATAGTCAGGGGCACACGCCAACACTCAGACATAATTTACAAATAAAGCATTTGTGTTTAGTGAGTTCGCCAAATCAGAGGCAGTAGGGATGAGCAGGGATGTTCTCTTGATAAGTGCATGAATTTGACCATTTTCCTGTCCTGCTAAGCATTCAAAATGTAACTTTTGGGTGTCAGGGAAAATGTAAGGTGTAAAAATTACTTTATTTTCTTTAGGAATGTAGTGAAGTAAAGTAAAAGTAATCAAAAATATTAATAGTAAAGTGAAGTACAGATACCCCAAAAAACTACTTAAGTAGTACTTTCAAGTATTTTTACTTAAGTACTTTACACCACTGTCACAAGGTCAGGTATAACCTCCAAAACTGTTCTTATGAAATGGAAAAATTGTAACTTTCCAAAAGGGGAAATTCCACTGGGGTTAGGGGAACGTTTTCATTGTATAAATTAGTTAATCCACAGTTTGACAACTTAATTGAGCAAACAAATAGTTGAATGATAGTTGTTCATTATCAGATGGATTGTAATGGTAGTGGTCATAATGACGATGATAGCGATGATGGTGACAATTATGATGATGACTACGATGATAATCATGATGCTGTTGCTGCTGATGGTCTGCTCTTTATCCTCCAGCAGTGGAGGCTCCTCAGAGGAGGAAGGGGAGGACCATCCTCCTCAGTATATTTCATAAAAATCTAAACAGTGAAACATTAAAAGAGTTATCCTTTTTAGATACAACTATACTAAATATATTTAAATGTCACCAAATAATTCATTAAAACACACTGTTTTGCAATGAAGGTCTACAGTAGCCACAGCAGCACTCTGTAGGGTAGCACCATGGTGTAGCCGGAGGACAGCTAGCTTCTGTCCTCCTCTGGGTACATTGACTTCAATACAAAACCTAGGAGGCTCATGGTTCTCACCCCCTTCCATAGACTTAAACAGTAATTATGACAACTTCCGGAGGATGTCCTCCAACCCATCAGAGTTCTTGCAGCATGAACTGACATGTTGTCCAGCCAATCAAAGAATCAGAGAATGAATCTAGTACTGAAAGCATAAGCTACAGCTAGCTAGCACTGCAGTGCATACCATATGGTGAGTAGTTGACTTAAAGAGAGAGAAAGATAACAGTTGAACAGTTTTGAACGAATTCATTTCTTCCAAAATGAAGGAAGAGAGAGAGAGAGAGAGAGAGAGAGGGGGAGAGAGAGAAAGAGATAGCTAGCTATATTTGGTTGTATTTTTTTAAACTTTCACTTTCACTTAGCTAGCAAATGCAGATAGCTAGTTTAGCCTACTCAAACAGAGAGGGATGCTATGTCAGCTAGCTGGCTATGGCGATCCAACACTGGAACTCTTCCAATTCAAGGTAAGGTTTTGTTATTAAGTTATTGCTACCGGGGCCCGCCGGTGTAAATACTAAACTGCTTTCTGACTGTACACTGTACTGCATTATTGTAGTGGGTTTACTAACGTGTTAGTTCTAGTAGTTCTAAATAATAAATAACTATGACGTGACAGCGATGTAGGCTGTGTGTAGCGGTTAGCGGTCATGATATGAAGGTTTGACTTCGAAAGTTTTTTTTGCCTGGTCACAGACAGCTGATGTGTTGTGCACTGAAGTCCACAAGCGAAGGGAAAAGGTGAGAGGAGGAGAGCGCATAGATAGTTGCGAGAATGAATTATATATACAATGAGCAAAGTGATCATGCTGTTTTTATGTGGCTGCTATGAAAGTGAACTGTTTGCGTGTGATCAGGGGTGTATTCATTCAACCGATTCTGTTTAAAAACGTTTCTTAAACAGAAAAAAACTGAACGAAATGAGGATAAACATACCTGAATTTGTCCAACAGAGACTCTTATTTGCTGTTGGACTAATGATTACACCCTAGATCAGCTAGATGCAGGCAAGAGTGTGCAAGGCGTATTGAATGTGTCACTGTCTGTCATCTTGATTACTCAAAATTCTCTCGACCTGTGCACTTACGCTGTAAACTTTAATTCATAGGCTAGGTTGTAGCAACCTCATGATGGGTACAGGGAAAATTTGAGTATCATACAGTAGCCTAAACCTATCAATGTTACATTGAGCTGGGTGAATGGAATATAAATGACAGTCATCCAATATGCTGTAATAGAAATAAGGCCATGCTCATTAAAAAATAAAATAATCCTCCCTCATCTTAAACGGCACCGACCGCCACTGTCCTCCAGGTATCTGAAGCGGTTTAAGGTGATGAAGCCTAAGGTTCTGAGGAGCTGGTGTAGACAGATCCTGAAGGGCCTCCACTTCCTCCACACCAGGGACCCTCCCATCATCCACAGGGACCTGAAGTGTGACAACATCTTCATCACCGGCCCCACCGGCTCCGTCAAGATCGGGGACCTGGGATTGGCTACCCTCAAGAGGGCCTCCTTTGCCAAGAGTGTCATTGGTGAGGAATTACACATGCTCTTTCATGCTCTGCTTGGAAGGGTCGTAAATACATAATTTGTAAAATGGTATGGAATCTATACTGTAACTATGCAATACTTTGGCCTTGACTCCACTTGAGACCTGAAAGGCTGTTTCTGAATTCATTTATCCTCTTTTGGATGGGTATACAGTATGTGAAGTAGCTTAGCATGTTCATCATACTCATGTGAGTGTGTGTCAGTGTGTTAGGAAGAAAACCTTGTTTTTTTCTAGAGGAACACTGTAACTCTTGTGACCTTTGATGTTTGCCTTCTCCCCTGACCTCTGTCCTCCCAGGCACCCCAGAGTTCATGGCCCCTGAGATGTATGAGGAGCACTATGACGAGGCGGTGGACGTCTATGCCTTTGGGATGTGTATGTTGGAGATGGCCACCTCAGAATACCCCTACTCCGAGTGCCAGAACGCTGCTCAGATCTACCGCAAAGTCACCAGCGTGAGTTTAGCGAGTCCAGCACAATACTGTCTATTACCCACACCATGCCGGCACCTATGTTTTTCCACTAGCACTAACTCACCCATTCCATCTCGATCGCCAATGTTTACTTACTAGCACAAACAGCAAAGCCATAAAGATTTATATTCAGTATATAGTCCAAAAGGTAACCACAGTGATGCACGATGATACTGCTACTGCTTACAACAAAAACATACAAAGCACAGATACAGTCTACTACAGTCATTCAAATTAGTTAAAGTAAAAGACCAAATGAAATAATAAAAAATCAGACTCTCTGCCGCTTATTTTTAATAATTGTTACAGTGTGCTTTTTGAAGTACAACAACAACCCAGAGGAATTGGTGCAGAGGTTTAAAATGAAGTTTAATCATCAAACTTTCAGAAATAGTTTGCAGTTCTTTCAACAATGATAAATAAGATGTTTATAACTTATGGAGAGTATGCCTGCGTTTCAAATGGCACCTTATTCCCTACAGTGCACTACTACTTTTGATTTACTTTTGGTCAAAAGTAGTGCACTACATAGTGAATAGGGTGCCATTTGGGGCATAGCCCATTCGTTTCTTCACAGGGAGCTTCCTGCCACAGCTTTCCTCTCTAGAGTAGAGTAACGGCAGCTGTAGCAGCTCATCACTTCTCACTGGAGTGGAGTTAGACAACATGTCACCGTGGGGAGTCTGTTCTTAATGTGGTGTGACATTTGTTAGCCATCTTACTCCTGTCACAAAGAATGCAGGTCGCACACTGTGTGTGTTATTTGTGTGACACTGTGACTCAGTGCAATAATGTGTGACACATGATATTCGTAGACTCCAGGACGAGTAGCTGTCACACCTGGGGATCCAAATAAACAAATATCTTTCATATTTGTCACCATGAAGATTGTTTTTGTTTTTCTGTCTGTGAGTGTCAGTGTGCGAATGTGTAATATATACCATGATATTCTTAATATGTCATACTGTGTGAGATATCACATGTTGAATATACTTCCCATCCTGAATATTGTTGTTCTTTGTGTCTGGCATCTCCAGGGGGTGAAGCCTGCCAGCTATGATAAGATCAGTGACCCAGAGATTAAGGAGATCATCGGGGAGTGTATCTGCCATCGGCGGGAAGAGAGGTAAGTGGACCAAGTCAAGTCCATCTGTAAAGTAAAGTATGCCGGTACTGAGCAGGTACAGCGCATGAAATGGTCACAACCAACACATACACCCAACACACATGGGTAAATCCATTTCAATTCAGTCACTTTTTGACAGCACCCCTTTTGATTTGAACAAAACCTTCCATACATATTAGCCCATTGTAGAAGTGCTAATAAAGTGACTTTTTGGACCTGAATGCCAAAACATTCAAGAGATAGAGGTGCTCAAAGTTGAGGTATTTTGCATACCCCACCATGCTATGAGACATCCATGTCATCATTACTGGAAAAGAGAAACGGTTGAGATTGATATCATTTGAAAGCTTACAAACAGGGTTGTCAAACTATTTAATAATTTATTGGAAAAAAAAAGTATTAATAAAAATGATGACATGTTTAATAAATTATCTAAAAACGCATTAACTATTTTTTCTTTTTTTTTACCGATGGCGGGCACAACACAAAAACGTATGATTAAATAAAAAATAGTCTAAGCTACAACATATGGGAATATGAAAAAAATGGATGTTAAAAGTACAAAAAACTACAACCTTTATTTCAAAAAGTATAAAATAGTTTGACAACCCTGTTTGTAAGCTTTCAAATGATATCAATCTCAACCGTTTCTCTTTTCCAGTAATGATGACATGGATGTCTCATAGCATGGTGGGGTATGCAAAATGGGTCAACTTTGAGCACCTTTATCTCTTGAATTTTTTGGCATTCAGGTCCAAAACGTTCTGACCACTTCTTCCATGGGCAAACATGTATGGAAAGTGTTGTTTAAATCAAAAGGGATGCTGTCAAAAATGTATTGAATTCACACACAAACACAGTGTATGTACAGTAGCTATTGGTTGTGTTTTGTACTGTTGGTTTGTACTGTTCCTGTCCTGAGGTATGACTTTGGTGCCAGTATTTGGGTCTGCTACAGATGTAAGATCTTAATTTGATCACTCTTTTGTTGCTGAGGATTTTCCTGTAAAGCAGGAAATGCAAACTTGTAGTGTATTTGAGTTTTAAAAAGGCTTCTAAATTAAACTACAGGTACACCATAAAGGACCTCTTGAACCATGCCTTCTTTGCGGAGGACACAGGCGTGAGGGTGGAGCTGGCTGAGGAGGACGATGGGAAAAAAGAGTTCCATCGCCCTGAAGGTGTGGGTGGAAGACCCCAAGAAGCTGAAGGGGAAGTACAAAGACAGTGGTGCCATCGAGTTCACCTTTGACCTGGAGAAAGAAACCCCAGAGGGCGTGGCCCAGGAGATGGTGAGTAGCAGAGTAAAGGTCTTCACGGGTCCACCAGACCCAAAATTCCGAGATCCAACCCGGGACCAAGCTGGTCGGGGTCCAAAATTCTGACCTTTGTCACGGATCTAGGTCGGGTCTGATATAATTGCCACGGGACTCGGGTATGTGCAATTAAAATTGGATTTACCATCTGGACCCGATTGGACCCGTCCTCTGGTAATTTAATCAGTGAGGTGATGAGAAAACTGTGCAAGCTTGTTATCTGTGTCACCCCAATTGCAACTTAAAACGTATAGCTTATGCCGGCCAGGTCCAGCTGAAACTTGTTCCGGCCACTCACCTCTTGTGCGCATGTTGCTGAGGAGAGAGAGAGCAAGAGAGAGTAGCCTTGGCCTAGGCTACTGTTGATTGTGAAGATGGAGGCGTTTTTCATTTAAGTAAAGCGAACGTTAGAGGAGAAAGAGTATAGTGAAAAGAAGCCGAGTAAGGGAATGGACAGGTCGCTATTCAGGTTTGATGCAATTTTCGAACTTTTATTAATTTATTTTCGTATTTATTATCATTTGTTTTATCCTTATTATTATTATATATTATTATTATTATTATTTCATTATTATTATTATTATTGTAGGCCTATTTACCCTAATCTAAACCAGTTCTTTAAATATGCAAAAAGTGTTTTGTTTCATTCTGTTGAGACATTTTCGTTGGCTAAATTAAGTTCCAACTGTAGGCTAATCCTAGTGTTCACCGCAATATAATAGCCTGTTCATATTTTCCCTATAAACACCGACTTGATTTACTTTGGATATTACCCTTATACATTTTAGAAACCTTTGTAAAGGTTACTCCTATAATCTAACAATATAATGCTTATCTTTATAAAAAATTATATTGATTTATGCATACCGGGTCGGGTGGAAAAGCCACGGAACCATTTCGGAACAAGTCCAACTGTTTGGACCTGTGAAGACCTCTATAGCAGAGTCATACAGTGAGGGGAAAAAAGTATTTGATCCCCTGCTGATTTTGTATGTTTGCCCACTGACAAATAAATTATCAGTGTATAATTTTAATGGTAGGTTTATTTGAACAGTGAGAGACAGAATAACAACAACAAAATTTGATTTGCAATTTAATGAGGGAAATAAGTATTTGACCCCCTCTCAATCAGAAAGATTTCTGGCTCCCAGGTGTCTTTTATACAGGTAACGAGCTGAGATTAGGAGCAAACTCTTAAAGGGAGTGCTCCTAATATCAGCTTGTTACCTGTATAAAAAGACACCTGTCCACAGAAGCAATCAATCAATCAGATTCCAAACTCTCCACCATGGCCAAGACCAAAGAGCTCTCCAAGGATGTCAGGGACAAGATTGTAGACCTACACAAGGCTGGAATGGGCTACAAGACCATCGCCAAGCAGCTTGGTGAGAAGGTGACAACAGTTGGTGCGATTATTCGCAAATGGAAGAAACACAAAATAACTGTCAATCTCCCTCGGCCTTGGGCTCCATGCAAGATCTCACCTCGTGGAGTTGCAATGATCATGAGAACGGTGAGGAATCAGCCCAGAACTACACGGGAGGATCCCCCTGCTCAAGAAAGCACATATACAAGGCCGTCTGAAGTTTGCCAATGAACATCTGAATGATTCAGAGGAGAACTGGGTGAAAGTGTTGTGGTCAGATGAAACCAAAATCGAGCTCTTTGGCATCAACTCAACTCGCCGTGTTTGGAGGAGGAGGAATGCTGCCTATGACCCCAAGAACATCATCCCCACTGTCAAACATGGAGGTGGAAACATTATGCTTTGGGAGTGTTTTTCTGCTAAGGGGACAGGACAGCTTCACTGCATCAAAGGGACGATGGACGGGGCCATGTACTGTCAAATCTTGGGTGAGAACCTCCTTCCCTCAGCCAGGGCATTGAAAATGGGTTGTGGATGGGTATTCCAGCATGACAATGACCCAAAACACACGGCCAAGGCAACAAAGGAGTGGCTCAAGAAGAAGCACATTAAGGTCCTGGAGTGGCCTAGCCAGTCACCAGACCTTAATCCCATAGAAAATCTGTGGAGGGAGCTGAAGGTTCGAGTTGCCAAACATCAGCCTCGAAACCTTAATGACTTGGAGAAGATCTGCAAAGAGGAGTGGAACAAAATCCCTCCTGAGATGTGTGCAAACCTGGTGGCCAACTACAAGAAACATCTGACCTCTGTGATTGCCAACAAGGTTTTGCCACCAAGTACTAAGTCATGTTTTGCAGAGGGGTCAAATACTTATTTCCCTCATTAAAATACAAATCAATTTATAACATTTTTGACATGCGTTTTTCTGGATTTTTTGTTGTTATTCTGTCTCTCACTGTTCAAATAAACCTACCATTAAAATTATAGACTGATCATGTCTTTGTCAGTGGGCAAACGTACAAAATCAGCAGGGGATCAAATACTTTTTTCCCTCACTGTATGTAGAGATTCTAAATGGCTGTGGTGAGTAGAGTTCACATTATCATGGCTAAGATCTGTCTTGTAGACACTGTTGGTGTATTTGCGGTGCCATTTACGGAGTAAGATATTTATGTTATAGATTGAGAAATGGTATGACTGTCCCTAGATACCATTTATTTGATGAGTCTTAATCTATTTTTTGTTTGATGATGAGTAAAATTGAGCATTTTACTTTGATCTAGCCATGTGGTGTCCTCATGGAAAGCTGCTCTGTCCTCTAGACTATATATACAGTGCCTTCGGAAAGTATTCAGACCCCTTGACTTTTTCCACATTTTGTTAGGTTACAACCTTCTTCTAAAATTGATTAAATTGTCCCCCCCCCCCCCTCATCAATCTACACACAATATCCCATAAAGACAAAGCAAAAACAGGTTTTTATAAATGTTTGCTAATTTATTAAAAATAAAAAACGGAAATATCACATTTACATAAGTGTTCAGACCTTATACTCAGTACTTTGTTGAAGCACCTTTGGCTGCGATTACAGCCTCGAGTCTTCTTAGGTGCGATTACAGCCTCGAGTCTTCTTGGGTATGACGCTACAAGCTTGGCACACCTGTATATGGGGAGTTTCTCCTATTCTTCTTTGTAGATCCTCTCAAGCTCTGTCAGGTTGGATGAGGAGCGTTGCTGCACAGCTATTTTCAGGTCTCTCCAGAGATGGTCGATCAGGTTCAAGTCTAGGCTCTGGCTCGGCCACTCACGGACATTCAGAGACTTGTCCCGAAGCCACTCCTGCGTTCTCTTGGCTGTGTGCTTAGGGTCTTTGTCCTGTTGGAAGGTGAACCTTCGCCCTAGTCTGAGTTCCTGAGCGCTCTGGAGCAGTTTTTCATCAAGGATCTCTCTGTACTTTACCTCGTTCATCTTTGCCTCGATCCTGACTAGTCTCCCAGTCCCTGCCGCTGAAAAGCATCCCCACAGCATGTTGCTGCCACCACTATGCTTCACCGTAGGGATAGTGCCAGGTTTCCTCCAGACGTGAAGCTTGGCATTCATGCTAAAGAGTTCAATCTTGGTTTCATCAGACCAGAGAATCTTGTTTCTCATGGTCTGAGTGTCTTTAGTTGCCTTTTGGTAAACTCCAAGCGGGCTGTCATGTGCCTTTTACTAAGGAGTGGCTTCCGTCTGGCCACTCTACCATAAAGGCCTGATTGGTGGAGTTCTGCAGAGATGGTTGTCCTTCTGGAAGGTTCTCCTATCTCCTCAGAGGAACTCTAGAGCTCTGTCAGAGTGACCATCGGGTTCTTGGTTACCTCCCTGACCAAGGCCCTTCTCCCCCGATTGCTCAGTTTGGCCGGGAGACCAGCTCTAGGAAGAGTCTTGGTGGTTCCAAACTTCTTCCATTTAAGAATGATGGAGGCCACTGTGTTCTTGGGGACCTTCAATGCTGCAGACATTTTTTGCTACCCTTCCCCAGATCTGTGCCTTAACACAATCCTGTCTCAGACCTCTACGGACAATTCCTTAGACCTCATGGCTTGGTTTTTTCTCTGACATGCACTGTCAACTGTGAGACCTTATATAGACAGGTGTGTTCCTTTCCAAATCATGTCCAATCAATTGAAGTTACCATAGGTGGACTTCAATCAAGTTTTAGAAACATCTCAAGGATGATCAATGGAACTGGATGCACCTGAGCTTAATTTCGATTCTCATAGCAAAGGGTCTGAATATTTATGTAAATAAGGTATTTCTGTTTTTATTTTTAATACATTTGCAAACATTTCTACAAACCTGTTTTCGCTTTGTCATTATGGGGTATTGTGTGTAGATTGTTTATATAACAATTCCTTAACACTATATGGGCTACTGTATGTTTAAGCTTAAACTCTATTGGACCAGTTAGGTTAGCTTCTGGAGCAGTAGGGAGAAATGAAGACTGCATAACTGAATATTTTAGGAAAAGAATGCCGGCTTGTATTTTGTAAATAAAAATCAGTACAAAAAATAATCACCTTGAGTAAATATTGATATGTGAAATGTGTACAATGAGCTCAATATGAATTCAATACATCAACAGTACAATATACTTACATATCGGCCATATATCCAGCCTACAGTTTACTAGGGTGCACCCAACTCTATTTTAATATGAGGGTATCTCAGCTTTCAATGTTCAAAGTTCAATACAAATACAATAAACATGAATCCACAGAAAAACACAACCCAATTCACAAATACTGACTTATAAACCACTATGAGATGGAATCAAATGTGAGTGACTGTGCCTATCAATAAACACTGTAAGGTGTTTTAATGTGGTATGTGCTTATGACAGTCCCACTGCAATGTATGGTGCTATGATGTCTTGCAACAAAGAATCCTACCACACCGTAGTATGGCAGTGCAAATTCAGTGTCCTCCAAGAAAAAGGAAATCTTTGCATGCAAATCTTCTTACGGATGTCCTGGATTCGGGCGGGTCGCCATCATTGGTGGAACTGAATCCATAA